CAGCCTAACAGAGGTGCTTTCATTTTCTTTAGTATATTTACAGTCAATGTTTAGTATATAAAAAGGCTGAAAAATGAAACAACATATGGAGATAAAATGATTGGATATTGGATATAATTTACATTAAGCAACAGCTGCTGATGTGTTCATGCTTAGAGGGTGTGAAGATTAATTTACCACCTCCAAGCTGGGTTTAGAAAATGGTTCCTTCCTAAAATAAATGAGTCGTGAGGTGTTTGACTCATTTAACCTTTCCTCATGGTGAAGAAAGCCATTCATTGTGACGATATCAGTATTACATGTCCTAACACAGTTTACTTCCAACTAATAAACTCAGCTGTTTTCGTACAGCCTCCAGGTGCTCTGTCCCAACAAAAAGGGTTCATCAACTTCAGCACATGCTGTGCATCAGTGTGTCAGACAGATCTGCCTCTACAGGTCTGAAAATGATGTGTCACTTTGCTCATACCACGATTCATAGGTCACCAAGGAAACCAGGAATTCCTGTGGTGCCCCTCAGTGAGATCCAGGCAAGTGTGATAAGTAACGGTCTCACTCTCACAGACATAAAGATGTAGGTTTGCACACATGGTATGTGAGGACGTGGGAGAAACAAATTGACCTCATCATCCAGAAGTTGCAGAACAGTTTAACTGTCGGATGAGTATAGCATAACAAAACACACACCAAGGTGTGTACTTCAGGGAATCAGAAATGTCTTTATTTATATCCAGTACTGTAACACCCAATGAATGTCATGGAAGCATAATGTGTCTGTGTGTGTGCATGAGTGTGTGTTTGTGGAGCCACCATTGTTTCTTAACCAATGTGCTTCTGCAACGTGGTAAGGCAATGTGAAATCAAAATCTTGGACACCAATATGACGCAGTTGCAGAATAAACTTAAAAGTAGAAAAGCATAATGACAGTAGAGCGTTGTTATTGATTTGATGGATTGATGACTTAGTTGTGTTGTCTATAAACACGCAAATAACAAAAAAGAAACATAAATGCAAAAATCCTACACTTAGTTTACACCATTATAAAATAAAGAACTGTCTCTATAATGCTATTCTGTTACACAATTTACCTTTGGGGCGGCTGTAGCTCAGTGGTAGAGTTGGTCATCTCTCAACAGCAAGGTCAGGGGTTAGATCCCAAGCTCCTGCAGCCACATGTCCGATGTGTCCTTGGGCAAGACACTTAACTCCAAGTTGCTCCTGTTGCTTCATCTGCGGCGTATAAATGTGTATGAATGTGATAGCTAATACTAATGGCCACTTTACATAGTAGCCTCTGCCATCACTGTAAATAGGAAGGTGTGACCTGCGTTGTAAAAGTGCTTTGAGTAGTCAAAAGACTGGAAAAACACTTTACGAGCTCAAATCCATTTACCTTGAAGTTCCAATCTTCTGCTGACTGATTATACTGATACTGGTGTAAGGTTTCCACAGTCAGTGATTTGGGGTGCCATGTCATCTGCTGGTGTTTGGTCCACTGTGTTCTATCAAGCCCAGAGTCAATGCAGCTGTCGACGTTTACCGAGAGATTTTAAAGCGGTTGTTCTTAACTGGTGGGTCAGGACCCAGAGGTGGGTTGTGCAGCCATTTTCTGTGGGTCGTGAATGTGTGTCATAGAGTGTAAATAAAGTCTGTTTAGCACTTTCTTAACATGTTTGTTTTGTTTAGTTTCTTGCTTCTGTCACATGTTTTGTACCAACCGAGGTCCAGACTGCTCAGTTTTTCAGTAAATAAATATGATGGTCGTAAAATGTCAGAAATTTTGGGCCCGATTTTTCACTGAGGAGTTGGCGGTGGGTCCTGAAGCTATACGAGTTGAGAATCACTGTTTTAGTGCACTTCATGCTTCCATCTGCTGACAAGCTTTATGGAGATACTGATTTCCTCTTCCAGCAGGACTTGGTACCTGCCCACAGTGCCAAAACCAGTAACTGGTTTGCTGACCATGGTCATACATATGTATATATTACTGTGCTTGCTTGGCCAGCCAACTCAACTGACCTGAACCCCACAGATGACATTTTGTTTTTTTGTACATTACCACATACTACATGTCTGAAAAATTGTGTCCATCAGTTCTTCTTTTGTTATATTTTGATTGGTTGTTCAGAACTACTGCTCAGTTATGTAACATGTTAGGTAAAATTTAATAGGTCTGTTCCTTATATAATGTTGTAGGTGGAATGTTTGCACTACAGAGATGCCCTGGTCATCTACACTAACCCCTAGTACTTTTATTATGGCAATTTAATGAACAATATGGAGATCTAGTATGGGAACAAAGTACGCTGGATTTCTTTTACTTTTTTGTGGCTTAACCCAAACCAAATGTTTTGAAAACTTTTGAAATAGATAATGGTCAAATATTTTGGTAAAACAAATCAAAATGTCCATCTTTGTGGATGGAAAAAACTAAGGATAAGGATTTTTTCATATGACTGGATGATAGAACAATTAGCTTTACCATCAAACATCTCTAAGATAGTCCATATGCTAACCAAAACATAGCAGGAAGAAATACAACCTTCCATGTTAAAATCTTTATTAATAAAAGCTATCACATTTTTTAACTGTTTTTTTTTATGGTTGAACACTGATGAGGTCCCTAACATAAACAGGCAAGGATCACAAGAGAACTGCAGAGCTCGAGGAGAGAGGAGGAATGAGTCTCAACATGCAGGAGAAGAATGAGAGACTGAAGAGAAAATTCATGACCACAATCCAAAACACCTCACCCTGCCACTCCCTGCTCCTCCCTCAATCCTCCCGTCTCACCCAGCTCCACTCCCCCCTGATATCCTCCCAAAGCTCTCTGCATTCACTTTCTCTCTGTCTTGCTTTCAAACCTCATCTGTGTATCTTTGAGATTTTTTAGATGTTTTGATATTAATTAATCATGTGCTAATGGAAGCCATTCAGAAATATTTACACAACCAATGCTCTGATTCACAGGAAGCTCACACTCCCACAACAGAAACACAAACACACATTAAATTAAATGACTAGTAGTGTTTGTTACAGTGAGAAGAATAGCATTTTAAAATTGATCGCTCAAAAGAATTAGTAGAATCTGGTCCCTCCCTTCATTGAATATTTGGAGAATATATCATTTCCAACATCTTGAATGTCAAGGTCATTCATAGACTGACATTTTGACTCTATGTTTCTGAATGTTAAAACATGCTTTGGTAGTACCTTGTAATGTGTAATATGTTTTACCACCTAAACTGCTGACTAAATGCTTGTAACCCTTATCATGCCAGTACCTTCGTCAAATAAAATCATATGTGAATCATTTCCTGGCTGGACATGACCAGACTCCTGATTAGCTTACCCACCTTTCTTTGCCTAATCCTTCCTGCCCCACCCACAAACTCGCAGTGGCATGTGCGCAGAAACACACACACACACACACACACACACACACACACACACACACACACACACACACACACACACACACACACACACACACACACACACACACACACACACACACACACACACACACACACACACACACACACACACACACTTGGCAGGAAGAGAAAACACACCCAGTGGGTTGGAATCCAAATTGTACTCTTTTTTTTTTTTTCTGTGATGCATCCATATGCCACAATGACTTCCTCCCTTACAGCTACAAAAAAAATAAAATCATGATGAACCTCTAATTGTACAACCAACTATGTGAAGACTTCAACCACATACTGCACATTGTAATCCAACGTTCGTTTAATTAACACACCTATAATTTTGTTGCCATAATCATAGTGAGAAACGGGAGAAGTTTTGTCTAAGCTTGTTTCAGTTAACATTATAAAAATTGAGAAGAGGTGAGACAGAAAAAGTCTTGTCTGATATTTGATCTCTTTTCTTTAACTGAACCGACTGCAGATAAAGAAAATATAAATAGAAGGGAGGAATCTATAAAGAAATAGATGTGCAACAGATGTTGCTCTGCCTGGAAATCGTTTTTTCTCTCTGGCTTGTACACACTTGTTCATCATTCTCTTCAATCTATGTATACTAGCTAGACTTGAAAACAGACTGGAGATGTTATGAAATATGCTCATCATATTAGGCAGCTGAGCAAAAAGTCATACCATGGGGGAAGTTTGCAACAGTGATTTATCATCACTATATTTCTACTGCTATATTGTGTGTAAGAGCAACTGTAACGCACAATTTTCACCCTTGAAATAACTAAGTATTTCGGATTCTGATTATTGAAGCTTAGTCATGAAATAGTTCTTATTATGATGAGGAGACGTGTTGAAATATACTGAGATTAAGTGTGTTTTCCACCATATGGTTATGTTGGATGTGTGTTGCACATCAGGACTAAGACTTCAGGCTGACTTTAATGTTCCGGTATATGCTGCCATCTACTGGCTGTACTCGACCTCACAGTATTCTCTAAGAGGCAGAACTCTATTGAAATTGGAGTCTTCAAACTGTTAAAAACAAAAGATGTCCAATTTTTATATTTCAGACAGATAATGGAGGGTGCACAATTGTCTTGATCCTTAAAGTCAACACCCTGTAAATGTCAGTACTTTATCAAATTACAGTAATGTTGGCTGTTAGGCTTTTTTCAAGTATGATTGCAGTGTTTTGTCAGACCAGCTTTATGAATAATATATTTAATTGTTTTAGACTGCAAACTAAATTCGCGAAAATAAATGTAGGGTTTAATTTTCCATAATTGAATGATATACCTTGAAATGTAAAGACAACCCAAAGAGTAACCATTTAGACAAAGGTAACCAGTAAGTGAGATTTTTAAAAAAAGACAGAAAATATAACTGAATAGTAAATGACATAACTAAAGGAGTTTTATTTTATTAAATAACAGTAGAATCTTACATGATCTGGGGGTAAGTCCTGTCCAAGGACCTTTTTGTCTTATTCCAGTGTCACTGTTGCTGTCACCACAATAACTATCCAACTAAAAGGAAAAGAAAACTTCACACATCTGTCAGTTTGAAATAATTATATTCAATTTGACCACTGGAGGGGCTAACATAAGGAAAGACTGAATCCCGGCAGCATTGGATTCCCATACTAAGATTAAAGATGCAGACACTTTCTCTCTATGTTCCAGTCTCGAGTAAAAATACCACCTTAGTCAACGTGAATATACAGATACTGTACGTGTGATGAGCCCATTTTTATTTTAAAAATAAATAAGAAATTTGATTTAATGGTTTTATTTATAATACTTTACAGGAAGAAACATATAAAACGTGTTTCTAACTGTAAAGGTAGAAATACATTTGAGTCTTGGTGAGTCATCATTTAAGTCCCTTGGCCGTGTTTTGTTGTAGTGTGTAAACAGATTTCTAACATTTCATGAAAGGGTAAGGAGGTAGAGTTGTGCAGGTCAGAGATTGCTCTCTTCTGGTAGTCTAGTGAGAATCTCCACTCCGTCAGATGTGATGACCACCGTGTGTTCAAACTGAGCCGACCTGCAAGAAGGACAATCAAGTCAAAACACAATGCACATGTAAGATTTTAAAGGAAATTTCAACCTTTTTTAGAATTGTGCATTCTAGCTTTATCCTCATTTCTGTGGCTAAGTATGGAACTGGAGCAAGGAGGCAATTAGCTTAGCTTAGCATAGAGTCTGGAAGCAAGGGGAAACTGCTAGCCGGATCTCTCTACAGATCAACAATGATTTAAAAGGCACTTAAAAGGTTGATTCATTAGAATACTGTATCTCACGAGGTACACTTCCACACACAAGCAGTTGTGTTAAAAAAAACAAGTTGAGGCTTTTTACAACTTTGGAAACAATTAAATTACTTTACTAATATATCTGCAAATAAATCACAGTGCAAAGACATCTCTGGTTGTCCACCATGTACCTTTTATCATCTGCAGACACCGCTGTCCACTTGTCCTTCAGGATTTTAAACTCTGCAGAACCCTCCATCAGTATGGGCTCTAAAAATGCACACACACTATCAGCCAAAAAGTCATTCAAAGCAGCATTTTAATGAGAACAAATAAATGCAAAAGGCTACTCGCCTATTGTAAAAGCCATCCCTTCATCCATAGTCATGTCATTGTCGTTAGCTGAAAAGAGAGATAATCAGGATTTTCTTTAAAAAAAGAACTTTTGGAAATGTGTATGGTTTGCATGTGAAAACTTTCACTCATTTTGCAGTGATATCACAATTACAGTGTACAATGTATTATGTGAAGTCAGTCCTTACAATATAACAAAAACCTTATATAAGTCAAAGTATTTTTGGACAGTGCAAAGTATATGGTATGTGCACGCAATGTCACACACGTGATGCACGCATGGGAGGATTGTGTGTGAAAACTTACCATGGTGCCAGATCTCAGGATGGCAATGAAAGTAGGAGCCAATTCCATGCCCAATGAAATAAGGACAGACCTGAAAGCCACTGGCATGGGCTATTTCACTGTCAGCAGTAAAAAAAAAAAAAAACTTTAAGCTCGCACTTTAGAGAATTATCATTGTGTGCAATACGTTGTGAGTGTGTCTACCTGATAGTGTTTCCAATAACACAAAGCTGTGCACCAGGCTTGCAAGTAGCGATTGCCTCATCTCTGCAACGTCTGGCTGTTTCCACCAGTCGCTGCCCAACTTCATCCACCTGGCCAATTAAGAAGGTTTCTGAGGTGTCACCATGGTAACCATCCAGGTATACCTGAATACACATGAATAGGCAGAAATCTATAATTAAAAAAGTATTACTGGAGCTAATCACATTTTCAGTAACATTTTCCCCCAGCGACTTTATGTTAGTGTGGTAAGGCATAAACTCACAGTGACATCGATGTTGATAATATCTCCATCTTGAAGTTGCCGACTGCAGGGCACATATAAACAAAAACATTATGGTGCATTCAAAGACTTACAGGGGCTGACAAATGGAAAGGTCAACTCAACCTATATTATGGAAAACTAAGCAGCATATATGGAACCAATGCAAACTAAAAAAGCACATGCAAAAGTCCAAAACAAATGCAACGAATGGAATGCGCTTTGAATGAACAAATGTGCTGCAAAAATCTGTAACAACTGCATTAAAATCTAACATGGGTGATTTAAAGTGAATCGGGCCTGAACATTTACACTGGAGATGAGGAAGTTGAGTGGAGATTCTGTCGGGGAAGCCACATGATGCCTGGAGTTAGCGCTAGCTGTAGGGTTGCTGAGCCTTTGCATGTGTTGGTCCCCATAAAGAATCCCTTACATTATCCACATAAACATAAATACACAAATATATATTCTTTTTATGAGGCAGTTTTTTTTTTTACCACTGTAACTTTTGCTGCTTTGCTAAAGTGCTCATGATGGATAGGCCGGGTATTTGTAATATAGCAAATGACATAACATAACAATGAGTATGGTCTTTTTACCTCTTTACCTCTTTGTAAAGTGTCTCGAGATAACACTTGTTATGAGTTGACGTTTTACAAATGAAAATGTAATTGACTGATTGATATTCAAAGAAAACAAACTTTTTTAATATTAAGAATACAGTAGGTCCCGCATCTCTGTTTTCATGTTGAGTGATATTAAACAGTGATAAAACCATCTTACTGCTGATTAAATAGTACAGCACAAAATGCTCATAACAAAGCAAAATAAAAAATAAAACAATTCGGCATTAGGTATTCTTAATTTAGTAAAGGAGCCAGACTTCAATGCTTCTCCTTTCGAAGGTAACGGAATACATATGTTTAGTCCCACAAGGCCCATCACATCCGTGTTTTTTAACATTCTGCTGTCTGGAAACAAATTGAAGTATTTTCAGAAAGCATTTTTCAGTCACATGTTAAAACATATAGATATGATGGCTATGGTGGGACTTTCCATGCTTTCCCATTAACTTCAACAAGAATTGCACACAAGTCCAGCACCAATGAAAAGAAAAATGTAAAAGAGTACATTACCCTTCCTATTTCTGTTACTTTTAACATGCTCAGTATGGCTACACAGACCCAGAAGCAGTGATTTAAATATTAAGAGTGAATGCCCTCCCTGTTTACCTGTCAGGTATGCCATGACAGACCACGTTGTTCACAGATGTACACACCGACTTTGGGAAACCTCCATATCTCAGAGGGGATGGGTAGGCATTGTGCTTGATTATATCCTGATGCACGATGAAGTCTATTTCATCTGTTGTCATACCAACCTGGAAGCCAGAGGTCATAATGGTTGTGCTTTTTAATCTTGATATAGAATAAAAAAACATTTCTTACAGTGAGTGAGGCTGCTCACCTTGAGACTGCTTCCAGCAAGCAGCAGTACTTGTCTTGCTAGCTGACATGCTCTGGCAAGACCTTCAATCTGCTCTTGACCTTTGATTTCTATGTAGTCTGGCCATTCTGGGACCAGACCAGTGCCTACATAGTCGGGCCGCACAATGTGCTGCAGTCAGGGAGAAGAGAAAAAAGCAGGTAGGAATGGGGGTGGGGGTCAAATTGCTGTCACAATGTTCCATGAGGGAAAAGAAAGTATATATATCTCTGGCTACAGCCTTGTTAGGAAAACACACGAAACAAAGCGCTTATCAAAACAGGGTAATTCTTTACAAGCACAATGCTGTTTGCTGTGCCTTTTAGCTGCAGGCTAAGTGAGTTTGTACTTTGAAGTAGACTACATGTACAGCCAGAACATAAACATAAACAGCTAATATGGTTCACTGCTGTCAAACCAGGTTTAGTTCAAGCTCCACACAAACATTAGCATGAATATTTGGAAATCAAAGCATCATAAGTTAGTTAAGACTTTTATGGCCTGCAATTCTCATTATTTTCTTTAACAGCCTGTTACCCGCCTTCTTTGAAAACAGGTCTTCTACATATTCCTTTTAAGTCACCTTTTCACATCAGAAAATCCAGAACTGGGGATGAATGCAGAAGAATCACATGCCTGAATATTTCATATTATCTATAGAGATTAAGTCAGTATTAACTGATTTATTATTCATAATCTCGTCTTTTTTTCATATGGTCTTTTCCACCTGACTGGAGAATCTGAAGACTTCTAGATTAAATTAGAATCAAGAAACGTAGAGGTGTCCGATAGTGGTATTCCTAACTGAAGTCATATGTAGAATATACTTTTATTTGAATCCCTACCCCATCTGTATTTCTATTGAGGATTTAACAGCAGACATTTATGTCAGCCTACACACTGGCATTGAAGTCAGAATATGGCCTCGTCGAAAGGAACTAACATAAAGGTTGAAATAGCAGGAATGATAACTACAATATTGTCTCTTGTTTTCAGCAACTCTCTGATACCCCCAATTAATTTTGGCAGCATCCCTCCCCCTTCCCCCCAACCTGACGTAAGAGGCTCTACCTTTGGTACTGCATAAGCAGGCCTCACAGTCGCAGGACGAACTACATTTTGAGAACTTTTCCACTTTCTCCAGAAGAAGCGACGACGTTGCTGACACAGCAGGGCTGTTGAGGGACCACAACATACTCTCCGTAGTAAGGACCCCAATCCTACAAGAAAAATAAAAAAAAGAAACACAATAAAGAAGGGAAGGATGTCACATTTTTTTGTGACAAGAATATTCATGTTTAGACTGACTGTTATGTGTGTTTTGTTCTGTTTTATGTATTGTGGAAGCTTCATGAAAGGTTACTGAGGAATATGATCATGTCAAAGTAAACAATAACATTATCAACATGTAGATGAGACGACTAGTCGGCGATCGATCACCAGCGATATATGTGTGGTCACAGCCTGTTATTGGGCTCGTGAGCACTTCAGCAAATATAGAACTATATGGGATGTAGAGGCTGATGACCACACTTTACGTCACTGATCATGTTGTCACCTCCAGTTGGAGTCATAAAGTCTCCCACTCACTTTTATCCAAAAAAAGCACAAATTAAATTAAAGAAGGTCAATAATCATTAAAATGACTTAACTACTAGTCAGGGGTGCAGGCATAAAATGAAGACCCAAGTTCCAAGGCTAAAACTAAATATCTTCAAGACATAAATAGAGAAACTGTTAAATAAAAACCCAGTCAAAAGACCATTAAAACATTTATATACAGGTTTAAATTACATCTATGTATTTCCTCATAGTTCTGATGGAGAATTTTCCGTAAACAATGTGATGTAGAAGCTAAGGAAGGCTTTGCACTTCTATATTAATGTCCTTGTTATGACCCCAGCATTACTGTGCTGGTTTGTGTCCATTTGTAACAAAAGCACAAAGAGAGGTTTGGATGTGCAATTATCTTCAACATACACTTCAAAATGTTTCTTTTTTCAATCTAATTCATTCACAAACGAGCTGAGTAGGATCTACTTTCACAGCGCATTTAACATTTGGATTTAGTTGATGATGTTATACAATGTTTAAGTGTTGAGTTAATGTAAGTGTTTTAACTAAAAGCTTACTTAACAAAGCTTACTTCTTCTTGTGCTCGGGAAAGGACTTAAATATTTGAGTCGAAAATGTGAAAATGAATTCTTAACATTCAACTTTGACCAAAACATTTAAGATATAATTCAATGTACACATTTCTGACAGTGTTACTTGAAGTATTTGATAATTGCAGAGCATATTACAACAGTATTAACAGGTGTACCTTTAAAATTGGGCACTATGTGCACCTGCTATGGGTAGAATTCAATTTATGATTATATAGTCAATCATAATAAGTCTCAGTTAAAGTAGTAGTACTGTTTAAATACGTTAACATCTAGTTTATGCAATCAAGTAGCGCACGAATTGGACTTCTTCTGGGTGGCAAAGCTCACACATGCTACTCAAACTAGCTACATTAGCTAGCACGTTTGCATTGGTAATAGTAAACACCGCTCCTCTCTTCTAAACATGACCGCTGCTGTCGTATTTCATATAATTGTTGAATAAGTCAATCATTTTTACGTTATTTAGAAACACAGAAGCAGGTATGTAGGTAAGGCAGGTGGTGTAGCTGAGTATGCAGAGTGTTTTAATGTGTGTAATACCTGATCTTGCTAAAAGTCCTGCAGAACAGTGCGCCGCCATGGATTTTTGTTGCTGGTCACGTGGTACAGGAATCACCGTCACGTGACGTTGCGCTGAACAGGACAGTAACCACAGTAACCACAGTAAAGATAAACTTTATTGATCCCCCCGGGGGGGAAATTTGTGCATTACAGCAGCTCCAGAAAACAGGGGACGGGAATATACTAATTAAAAATAAAAATAGAAGTTAAAAACAGATCAAACATATTTACATCATTTAAATAAAAAATAAAAAATAAAAAATAAAAAATAAAAAATAAAACATAAAAATAAAAAACCGGCAACACACATGAATTTTGCTAACAACTTTATTAAGTTATTATCAAATACAGCAAGTTTAATAATAACAAGAACGAGACTGTAAATTCGAGGTCCTACAAATATACAGAACTGATTTAACTGTAAATAAATTGTAAATTATAAATCTAATTCACTATACAATGATTAATCATTTATCACTGGGCAATGTTTTAGTGTTTTTCAATATAACTTAATTAACTATACTTGCCCATGCGCACCTCAGTTGAAGTGCCACTGCATGCAAAGATTACGTAAGAACCAGATGTAGTTACACTTTAGACCCGCACGGTGGCGCATTGCTGTCTGAGCAGGTGTGGTATTTTCAAGACTGTATTATCTCCGGGTGCTCCGGTTTTATTCCCAAAACCAACAAGTGTGCTAATAAGATGGACTACAAATCCAAGATCCAGCAGTCATGGTTGTTTATGAAATAAGTAAATAACTAAACAATTGGATCACCTGTGGAGTCATAACGTCATATTTTGTAGTCAAACTATCATTAAACAAATATGCTTTGTTTGTTTTTCTTTTGATTGTTTTTTTTAATTTTTTTTAAAAGAGATTCAATCTAAAAATTGTGTTCTCTTTCCTGCAGTGGGACTTACAAAACAAACAAAGGAAAGGGTAATGATTTAAATATAGTAAAGACTCCTTCCAATTACTTAAATAAACAGTCTTACTGAACTGTTACAAATAGGCTACACATATCCAATGGTTGCAACAGACTTTTCTCCTTGTTATGCTACCTCTATTAATTTTTTGAATATTAGTGAATCACGTAAGAAATCACACAAAAACTACAAGAATAGCAGTCTTCTAACCAAAGAGTGTGGCCAGAGTCCAACCTCAATTGCAATGGGCCCAAAATGTCTCTAATACCCAAACATACCTTTAGATATCTCTGTTCATGAAGCATTATACCACAACAGCAAATAACATTTTTACAAAGTTACATAAGCAATGCCTACACGCCAGTTAGTGCAGAGAATGGTCAGAACCTTATCAGTAACAACAAACAGTAGATATCACATATTGACACCTCACCAGGGTCATTGAGATAAGCTCCCATCTGAATTACAGAAGAAGGGACAACATTTCCCAGCAGGAAAGTAAACACTGTCAAAAGGATGTGGAACTTCAAAATTCCCCTTAATCAACGAATGGGTGACATCAACACGTCAATATCAGATCTGAATTGAAAAGGCATTGGATGAAACATTTCAAGGAATATTGTATTGTTAGCATTCGCCTTATTAACATACAAGTGTTAAGTTTATAGGAAAGGTGCAACTTCCTCGCTAATGGTTATGTTAGCTCATTAGGATTTATTTTAGACAAGTAGCTTCTTTACATTATAAGCTGGGAAAGCCTTCCTCTTCCTGTCTCTTAACGCCATCAAATGGTAGCATGAACAACACAGCAATGAAATACAACTGATGGGTGGGAAATTGTAGATTATTGTTGTTGTTTTTTCTTCTGTCTATATCTAGATTTTTTTTAATATCTTTACTATGTGCAAACCATGAAGACAGTAGTAAAACACAGCATTAGTACTTGATAGTGTGTTTCCCCCTGCTGTTTTGTTTTTATTTTGCTAAAGCCCCTTTGCACCGAAATGTTGGGCCTGATTAAAAAGCGGCTATTCTCCAGTTCATCAGAATCAGAAATACTTTATTAATCCCAGAGGGAAATTCGATTGTTACAGTTGCTCCAAAATATACAATATAGCAGTAGAAATATAGTAATAAAAATATTAATCAAATAGAATAGGAATGTAAGTAAGATATAAATGTCGATTCATGTCAGGGTTAACTGAATAAAAAACAAAATGAAGTGGCTTGTCAAAGTAAACATACCCTAAGCCAGGGATGGGCAACTTTGGTCACGGCAAGGGCCACATTCAATTAATTCTCCCTGCCAAAGGGCCAAATTGTAGGAGACAAAAACGATCAATTATGAATCAATTATAATTTTAAAAAAAATCAATTATGTCTCAAATTTAACTCAACATATGCCAGTGATCAAATATTATTATGGACGTATTTCTGGTTTTCATGATTTCATGGCAGATTTGGTCACATTTTCTTTATGTTTCCAATTCATTGATATGTAAAAATTGACCTGAGGGCCACGTTGAGGGTTGATAGGGGCCCCGGGCCGCCAGTTGCCCACCCCTGCCCTTAAGCTGTCCCTTTCGGTGTAAATGAGGTAACAAAGAAGAAGCTACTGTAGTGGCAATGGTAGCTGTGGCAACGAGAGCGAGAGAGAGAGAGAGAGAGAGAGAGAGAGAGAGAGAGAGAGAGAGTAATTGTACAAGATACTTTACTTTATATTTTCACTAAACACACCGAACATGATCTCCACAGTCATTACTTTTGAAATCTATTCATAACAAATGCTTATTAACAAGGAAGCTCAGTATCCAGTGTGTTGTACTCATGAGAGGCTGCGCGGTTTCGTTTTCAGCATCACTACTACACACGTCCGAGGGCGTGCGCTGCGCCTCGCTCGCTCGCTCGCTCACTTTGTAGGCTACGTGACGTCAAACCAGCATGGCGGTCAAGGTGACTTCGGCATCGCTCTCTTGGCGATTTCCAATCCTCTACTTGCACATTTCTTTCTGTTGTCGGTTCTGTTTCATGTTAAGGAAGTAGCAAAGGCTAGATTCTGTGTTGCTGGCGGGTACGGTGGCTCGGAGGCGGTCGCAGCACTGGGCTAGCCTCCGCCCGACTGTGGCTGGCCTTGGTTGATATATCCACAACCTACAAGTTAGCGAGATAAAGCTAAAACAGCTATCAAACTGCCGCCAACGCCACTGCTTTCTCTTACAGTCGGGTGTTTTTCCAAGTTGTGCTCGTCCTCTCGTTGTTTGCAGTTTTTAATCTGTGCATGTCATTGCAGCGGGGTTGTGTCCTCTTCCTCCTGTGAGTCGTTTGTGCTTGCTAGCCGGCTACTCGGTTGTTAGGTTATGAGCCTGCGTCGACCTCTGACTTGTGGTCAGTCGATAGTTTAGTTAGCTGCCTAACCTGCTTATTGTGAGTGTATGTGAGTTTAGTTGTTTAGCGTTAATTGCGTGTCGTGTTCGTCACAGTGGGGTCTTTGTTGTATCTCCTTCACAGCAGTGGACGTTTCAAGGAGACACAATGCCACATCACTCGGCTTGTTCTTTGATCTGCATCACCTTCAAAAACCTACTTCTTTACTGGGCAGCATTTTGAAATGTTAAAAAAGCCACATTAGTATCGTCAAACAAGTTAATCCATTGTGTGCGTGTTTGCAGGTGCAATCTACTAAACGTGGGGACCCCAGTGAGCTGAAATCCATCTTCCAGAAGGTAAGGGTTCACACAGATTTCATCCAGACAAATCAAATGTTTGTTTGAATACGCAGAGATTTACTAACATGTTGAGCCCCCTCTTGTTCAAACACAATAAATGCGTCTGTGAGGAAACGAGCTCAACCAGGACTGTTTTCCCTCACTGAATGAGCTTACTCATTTTGTCATTGGGTTTAAATTACAGTATTAGCCACAGTTAAAGGTCCAATACAGACTGCTGTTGTTATGTGAAGAACAAACAGCTTCAACTGAATATATGGTGGTGGTCATATTTATTATGCTGCCAAACACTATTGCTTTCTTTCTGACACAAGAAGTGAAACATAGATATACTTTGCACTTCTTGTGGGAGCATGATTTTATTGTCTAGTAGTTGCTTCTTAAGCAGAAAAGTTTGTTTCACTCCTTCTAGTGCAGCTCAAGCATTACATTTTTATTAATCATGGTTAACCAGTTGTGCTCATGTTGTGTATTTAAGGACAGAGAGAGAGAGAGTCAGAGAAAAGGCTATTGCTATTGTCAGAGGATACACATCCAGACCGGTCTGTGTCTGACTGAGGTGTCATGAGTGACTGTACAGAACAGTGGGGGTTTTTGGTTAACCTTTGCATTTCTCCGTTGGCTGCTGCATGCTGAGTTTGTGATCCACTGTGTGATTGTCATGTTGGCCAGCAGTTGCCTGGACTCTTAAATACGTAAGTCAGATATCTAACAAGCTTTGCCCAGAGACATTAGTGAAACTGTGCATGCTCATGCGTGCAAAAGTGTGGGCTAGTAGATTTCTGACATGTCATGCTACAACTGCAAGATCAGTGACCTTGTTTTCTTAGGAGCGGCATGAATCAGGTTTGTATCGAAATAAAATAAAAGCCGCTAACTTAAATACATTTAAGTTGAACACCTTTATTCAAGACTTGCACCTTTAACATAGTTGGCTTACAATGAAAGAGGAAGCTAGTAGCATGCAATAAGGTGCAAAATATAATCTTCCGTGAAGTGGTCTTGCAGTACGCCCTCAGCTTCTGACACTATATAACCTACAGCAGTTACAGTCCGAATCTTAAAAAAGGCAACATGAGAAAAAGTGAAATTGCTCATCTACTATAATGTCAGATGTTTAAAGATAAAGAATATAAACTTGTTAAAATGCAGCCTTTTTAAATCCTTAGCAACAAGTAGGTTGCATTTAAGATTTATTTTAAATTCAGTTGCAGTCTTTTAAATTAAGCAAAAGCTTCATAATAAAACTGATCATCCGTCCAGAATGATCTGTAAAGACCCTTTTTCAACCCATAAGGAAGCAACAGTAATACTGCTGCACTGTGTCTCAATGCATGACTAAACACGGACTAAACTGGCCTTTAGCAAGGACACCGTGAGGGTTAAAAAAGCTGATTGTAAGCCATGCTCCTGAGAAGGATTAAGTCTTAGTTATGTAAATAACTCTTTACAACTTGCAGAGGGAAACGGATACGAGCAAGCGATGGCGTTGTAGTTTATTTTTTGTTGTTTGACATTGTTGTCATTTAGGAAAAGTACAAATGGTGCTGAAGGGTGAGTGTCAAGGTTGACGTGAATGATTTCTTTCTCTCCTTAGTATGCCAGTGTTGTGGACAAGGATGGAGAAAAGTTTATGACCCCAGGGGACTTTGTCCAGAAGTATCTTGGACTAAACACACAGATCCACCACAATCCCAAAACTGTTCAGCTCATTGCTGCTGTGGCTGACACCACAAAGGACGGGTACGTACTGCTGACACATAAACAGTGTGCGCCAAAACACACACACACACACACACACACACACACACACACACACACACACACACACACACACACACCCACACCCACACAGTTGCACACAGCTTATTGTCACTAATTGAGAGTTTATTGAGGTATATCAGATCAGCGCTGTACATTATAGCAACTTACAGATAAGATAAATGTCTCGATGACTCTCATTCATCAGACTGTTTGTGTATACAGTGATGTGTGGAAAAGAAAATGCACACACTCTGCTGATTACGTGAACTGTGTTTAAATCTGAGCTGAGGAGATGTTTTTGGCAAATTAGCTTTTTCACACAAGACTTTTATTTTGTCAGTTGTATCCAACAATCTTTTCATTGAAAGCAAAAAATGCTGAATATGAAGAATGGAGAAAAGTTAGATTTTTGGTGCTCTGGTCTGTGTATTGAAGCAGTACTATGTGATCTAGTATTGGCCTCTCTCCAAAAAAAGTGTTTAACCATGTATATATTTGCTCTCTCTGACCTCTTATGCAACTTGGACAGGCTGATCTCATACCAGGAGTTTCTTGCTTTTGAATCGGTGTTGTGTGCCCCTGATGCGCTCTTCATTGTAGCCTTCCAGCTGTTTGACAAGACTGGGACTGGAACCATTTCCTTTGGTACGTGCCAGTGTGTTTTTGCTTGAACTTTGAATTCACCTCACATAGACAAAATGATGTCAACACTGAGCACAGTACACTATAAAAGTGTTTCAGCAACCAGCTTACTAGGTAACACTGTAGATTGTTTACAGAAACAATCCATGTGCACGCTGCGTCATCGGAGCAAGTTAAACACGTTAATTTGGTTCACGTGGAGAGAGAATTTCCCAACATTGTCAACCAGATTATTCTCGGTTTAAGTCATTAACATGGACTTACATAATGTCTCTCATGCACTGTTTCTTCTGTTCTTTCTACCTTTTGCTTTCTGTCTTATGTCACACACACTCCAAGCTTTTCCCACCATGTCATTTAAGTCAATCATCTCAACTTTTGGTTATGAAAGTAGTCCTCAATATGATTTATTCCTCTTTTGGATGTATGTTGACGTTTATTTGTACTGCAGAAAATGTGCGGGACATCTTCAGCCAGACCACAGTGCACCACCACATCCCCTTCAACTGGGACTGTGAGTTCATCCGTCTGCACTTTGGGCACGACAGCAAGAAATGCCTCAGCTACCTGGAGTTTACCCAGTTCCTGCAGGTCAGCTGATTACACACCACACAAACTGATAGTTTGTTGCTTTTTCCTTTCTCTTGAATCTATTTAGACTCAAGCTTGTTTTTGTTGTTTTTGGCGTTTTTTTAGGAGCTGCAGTTGGAGCATGCACGCCAAGCGTTTGCCCAGAAGGACAAAGGGAAGAATGGCGTCATCTCTGCAATGGACTTCAGTGACATCATGGCCACCATCAGACACCACATGCTCACACCCTTTGTCGAGGAGAACCTTGTGTCTGTGAGTGTTAGTGTGTGCACACAAGAAGAGTTTAGTGACAGTACATCGCAAGTTACTCACTCTGGCCACAGAAAGATTGAGTTCAGATTGACTGAAGGAGAAAAGTTATTTTCAGATAATCACTTCTCTAAGTGTTCTAGATTTTGTCTTCATAGCTCGCAGCTCGTCCATAAAAGCTGAAAACAGGCAATTTTTTAAAGTAGCAAAAATTCTGAGGCTAATTGCCTCATTAAAAGGGATGCTTAGGCCTATCACTTGCTAGTGGCAACATAATTCAATTTTACATGAGGCGTTAACAATATATAAACACTTACCTAAAAACTTGGGCTCAGTCTTCACTATCCTTACCATCTTTTAAGCTACTTTCAGGATCCTCTATGTTCTCTTGGAGATTGTTTCCAAACATTCCCTCTCTTATGTGTGAAACTTCTTGACATGGCTGGGTTTGTTTGTTAGCAGAGAGCTTAATTCAACTGAGATTTTCCCCCTCAGATATCCTTCTAAGATTTTGCCTGGAATGTGATAATACACATTTCCATTGTAAAGGAGTCTTTAAAAGGTCAATTGAGGCACAACAAAGTGTTTGAAAGACAATACCATACAATAGTTACAATAGTGACTTAATATAAAAGCTCCAGTTTAAATGTATATCAGACAATACGCACTGATATTTGTAACAGTATGGTCAGGATTTCTCATGGAGAGTTTGATCAATGTAAAAAAATAATCTTTTCCAAGTCAAATTAGCACCTGATATACCCTACTTTTCTTCTATCAGGCTGCCGGTGGCAGCACCTCCCACATGGTCAGCTTCTCGTACTTCAATGCCTTCAACTCCCTCCTGAACAACATGGAGCTGATACGCAAGATCTACAGCACACTGGCTGGCACGCGGAAGGACACACTCGTGACAAAAGGTATCGACTGATGGCTACAATGCTGTGATGTTCTATCTTTGCTTTTCAGCTGAAAAAGTGTGTGTGAGTTTGCCAGGAATGTCCACGTTATTATAAAAGGTAACTCTTTTATCGCTGTCTTTTTCCACAGAGGAGTTTGTTCATGGTGCCAACAAGTTTGGACAGATCACTCCCATGGAAATTGACATCCTGTACCAGTTATCAGGCCTGCACTCCCCCTCTGGGTAACCCTCACTATGCTCTTCTTATAAAGTCTTTGGTTGAATCTGTCAGACCCAAACTCTTACAACTAGTAGACGTTCTCTATGAGACCCTGATGTTAATAACAGAACTACATATGTGTGCATCAGGCGCCTGAATCTTATCGATATTGAGAGGATAGCTCCTTTGGAGGAAGGATGTCTGCCACACCACCTGGTTGAAAGTCAAAAACAGGTATGATGTTTGTGTTCTGCTCTTAATATAATGGACAGGTACTGTACATTCAAACAGTTTTCATGTGATAAATTCACAACGATATCATGTGGTTTTTTTTTCACCATCAGGCCCATGGGGACAGTTCCAGGCCTGTGTGGCTACAGGTTGCAGAGTCAGCCTACAGGTTCACCCTGGGCTCCATTGCTGGAGGTGAGTTATCTTGAGACCAGAGACAGGTGAACACACAGCTGCAGAATATCTAGAATCCATGTTGTTTTTAAAGTATTTGGTCTGAGCCCGTGTGTTTTCACATAGCTACGGGAGCCACTGCAGTGTACCCCATCGACTTGGTGAAGACTCGTATGCAGAACCAGAGGTCCACAGGATCCTTCGTAGGCGAGCTGATGTACAAGAACAGCTTCGACTGTGCTAAGAAGGTCCTTCGTTACGAGGGCGCCTTCGGCTTCTACAGAGGTAGGCAGGAAGAGCTCTCAATCAGTGCCTGAATGATTCCCTTTCTGCAGCCAATACACCAGTGATGAATCAGCAAATCAATCTTTCTTCTTACAGAGCCAGTTTTTAACATTGTTATCTCAAGACACTTTACACAAACAGAAGGACTAGACTTAACTCGTATTTATTATATTATTCACTGAGACTCAATATTATATATGAATATATTATCAATATATAACAGCCATCTGCTGCAACTGTGCTGTGCTTGGAGGGAGGAGAGAGGAGAGAGGAGAGAGGGATAGAGGGAGATGCAGGAAGAAAGAGATGGGTAGAGACTATGAGAGCATTAAGCACACCGACGATCCAGAGGAACCCAGAGACAAGGCAGCTCTGGAACTTCCAGGAAAATATATAGTTATTAACTTAAATGGTATCTGAATATTTTAAGATAGCTACATTACATTCAGTAAGTATACAGATGGGGGAGGGAGAGAGATGGGAGAGAGAGAAAGAGGGGGAGAGAGAGGCAGGCTCAGTGTGCCAGGCAGACGTTTAAAGTAGATAAAATTATTTCCTTATTAAAACCAAATTCTGGAAAAACAGTTTGTGACCATGAAGTGAATCCCTGTGATAGATGCTGGGGGGGTTTGGTTTGTATAAACACAAGAGCTGGGAGAGAGGTTTCAGAAAGGTCCTCTTCAGGACTATTCTATCCTTTGTCAAACTGTCCCTCCCTGTTTATCACTCCCTTGTTGTTCTTGACTGACTGAGGTCAGGTGACCTTCAGTCTTAGTATTTTGAATGTTTATTCCTCCTCCCTTGATTCTGCTGTTCTGTTACTACTTAGGAAATATCCTCATGTCAATCATTCTCCCCATAGGTCTGGTCCCTCAGCTTATAGGTGTGGCCCCTGAGAAAGCCATCAAACTGACCGTGAGTACCCCACCCCCTCCCTCCCAATAAAACCAACAAAGCTGAAATGACATTAATTGACTGATTTCATTATTTGATTTAAACAGTCTATAATCTCACCCCTGATTTGTTTGCGTCCAACAGGTGAACGACTTTGTAAGAGACAAGTTCACCGGGAAAGACAACACAATTCCTTTCTTTGCTGAGGTTATGGCTGGTGGCTGTGTAAGTTCCAAACACTTTGTTTTCTTGCCCCATCTGTGTGTGAATGCATCATGAAAAGTAGAATAAAAAAGTGAGGATGCTGTCAATTACTAAAAGTTGGTGCCTCCTTTAGTTGTAAAAGCCATTAGAGAGAATCTCTGCATGCATCACTCACTCACTGTGTTAGTGATGTCATCTAAATGACATCACTAACACAGGACTGCCATGCAAAAGTGCACCCAGGGTTAAAATGTCATTGTCCAGTACAACATGTTTTTTTTTTTTCTGTTTGTTTTTACTAGCTTTGTTCATCCTTACTCAAACTTTGGCCGAGAACACCTTACCCTCCAAGGAAATAGCAAAGTAATATTGATCAGGATCCCTTTTTCTTTCTTTCTCTTTTTTACTTTTGACACTTTTCATGAGCAAGACACGGCTCCCATCCCTCAGCTATAAACATTTACGAGGCAGGAGCAGTGATTCCTTTTTTTTAATTGAGGTGTTGAAACAAACTTTTCTTCTCCCTGTCTATCCAGGCTGGAGGCTCTCAGGTGATTTTTACCAACCCTCTGGAGATTGTGAAGATTCGCCTGCAGGTGGCAGGCGAGATCACCACTGGACCCCGAGTTAGTGCACTCAGCGTGGTCCGTGACCTGGGCTTCTTTGGCCTCTACAAGGTAAAGCTCCTCACAAGTCCTCTCTCAGTGTGTGTAAAAGTCCTCCGTTAGATGTACTGGCACTCACTCTCTGTAACGTTAATGCACTCTTTTGCCTTCATCGACTACTTCCAAGCACTGTCTCATATATCAGTCTGTTTGTGTGTCACAATAGGGTGCTAAAGCATGTTTCCTGAGAGACATCCCCTTCTCAGCCATCTATTTCCCTGCATACGCCCATCTCAAGACCCTGATGGCCGATGAGCAAGGCAGGCTGGGAGCTCTGCAGCTGCTCACCGCTGGAGCGATTGCAGGTAACCTCAGATTGTGACTTAGAATATCAAAAGCAGGCAGCCGCTACTTTTTCACAGTCCATTTTCACACATGTTAAGGTAACTTGCCTCATCTGACGTCTTTGTAACTCTGCTTCCCAGGTATCCCAGCAGCCTCTCTTGTGACACCTGCTGATGTTATCAAGACACGTCTGCAGGTTGCAGCGAGGGCCGGGCAGACCTCCTATACTGGAGTGATCGATTGCTTCAGAAAGATCATGAGAGAGGAGGGCTTCAGGGCTCTGTGGAAGGGAGCTGGAGGTGCGTGTTTTCTGTGTAATGCTGCACACATAGTCAATGTGTTGTTGTTTTTTTTAATTAAACTTGTGAAAATGTGTTTCTTTTTATTCCCCAGCCCGTATGTGTCGGTCCTCTCCTCAGTTTGGGGTGACTCTTGTGACTTATGAGCTCCTACAGCGGTGGTTCTACGTTGACTTTGGAGGACAGTAAGTTCATCATCTTCTTTTTTTCAAAAAGAACAACAAGAACAGCCACTAACGTTTGTAGCCCTTATAACTAAATAACCTAATTAAACAGCCAATAAAATCTTGTTAGGGCTGGGACTGAAAAAGTAGATGTCAGGATGCACTTGTTGGTCAATGTGAAAGTACAGAAGATCTTGCTTTAGTCATATATGACAAACACAAATCTGATCCGTTTAACTCCAATAAAAAATGTAATCATATACATGTACATAAATATCGCTTTGAAACATCATATTTAAATGATTACAAATGCCAATATTTGTTCTGTAATTGATGCATCTATCTTCTCCTCATCTCTCCAGCCGTCCTGCAGGATCCGATCCCACACCCAAGTCTCGCATCTCAGAGCTTCCTCCCATAAATGCTGACCACGTCGGGGGCTACCGTCTGGCTGCAGCTACCTTTGCCGGTGTTGAGAACAAATTTGGCCTCCATCTTCCCAAATTCAAGTCCTCCGGGGTGGTTTCCATTCATCACCCAGAGCCAGTCACTGCAACGCCAGCTGAGGCCCCATAGAGATCTGAATCTCTGTATCACCACGCCATCCCTACTCTCCTCTTACCAGGAGCCAGACACTTAGATAGATACACAAAGCAAAACACGCACAAAGTCAAATACACTCCACAAATAGAGGGCCATTAAGTTAGGAACAAACAACAGCAGCTCGTAAATCTACAAGGTGAAGGCGTGCTGAACTGGTCTCAAACCAGCTGTGGATGTAAGCGAGCAGACGGCGACAGGACCAGACTGTTGTATCTTCTGTGGCTGTACGCTCCTGGCAACTCCATTTTTGTTTTTTTTTGTTTTTCCTCAAGCATTTGTATAAGGTGGGGTCTCAGCACTCCTCTTTATTTCATGAGTAGCACATATGATTTGAATTTCTTTTCTGTCTGATGAGTAGGACTTCTCTTATTGGACGAAGGGCATAGAAAATATTAGCTTGGTCAGCATGGTGTGTGTGTGTGTGGGGGGGGGGGGCTACACTACTGCTTGGTGCTGAGACAGGAGGCTATATACTGTACATATTGTATAACTGTACTGAGAATACATTAACAGGAGTCAGTGAAACAAATGTTACCACACAAAGTGTCGTAATGTTGATTTACTGTAATGTTATGGCTACGTGGGGCCTTGAGTCCTGGTGTTTGAGAATCACTCTTACTGATGTACAGAACTTTTCAATCCAGTGTTTTCTTTCGAAACAAGAATCATAAGCAGAGAATTAGGTTAATAAATTAAATGTATCTGAATTTAGTCATTGTATTTTATTGAAATAAATCATCCATATGGTTTTAATTTTAACAGTATGTCTAGAGTTTTATTCCAATGGAAAAGAGCAACCTTAGACTGTATGAGGAACAGTAACAGGAAAGAGAACAGTACATTGAGTCAAAGCAGAATACTGATCTTCATGTTCTATCCAACATGGTTGCTACAGTACATGTTTTAGCTCATTCTACACATGAAAGAGAAGCATTTTTTGAAGCTGAACGGTTAAACCAGGCTGGTGAGGTTAGACTGCTGCATCCTGGGAAGAAAGATAAACTGGACGGAAAAAATAATGATAAAAATCCATTCATTTGCAGTGATGGAAGAGTTTTCAACACCCGCTTTACATCCCCTTTGAAAACTTCATGTGGTTTATTTATATGCTCTTAAAGAAGAGAGTTTGCCTGGTAAAAACACTTGTAGTGCTTATTTTAGGAATGTACTACTCAAGCTTTAGTACAAAGCAGCAATTAAACAATACACAAAATATTTAAATAAGTATAACCACCAGAATAAATATTAAATATTGTAGTGGTTCAAATATAGTGACAGACTCCTGCACAGGCCAGAGTGCATGTACAGTAAGCACACCTGTCGTTTAGTCATTAAGTGCTGCTGTGTGGATAGTGATATGTCAGCTTTTCTTTTGTCACTTGGTTGAAACACTTTGCCGTCCAGGTGCAAAAGCATGTCCGGAAAAAATGAACACATGTAAAAACACTCAAATGGTAATAAAAAGGTGCAGGTACAAAGGTTTGCATATTTAAAAAAGGGCTGAGTTGGTTGAGGCCTCAGGAGAAGAGCAGTTTCTGGAGCCCTGAGGATGATATCAAAGCTAGAAGTTTAGAGTGGACAGCCACATCTGGGCTACAAACCACTTCCCTTGAATTCCACTTTAACCACATAACTGTAGTTCTGTAATACTACTGCTACACATGACATTACTTATTCCAACACATACTCTAAACTCCTAAAGACGCTTTAAAAAAAACAACAACTTCCTGAACTTTTCTAAAACTGTCTTTTCAATCCCTTCTAGCTCTGCACATCTCCTCAGGCCAAATCATGTAGTGGGTGACAAAGCTGGAAGCAAATGTGGTGTAGTGTGCTTCAGGTGTTTTGTGTATTGGAGAAGAAATGATGGGCGGTTGTCAGTGTGAGGATTGTAACAATCACACATTAGCAAGTTCCTCAGCTTCATCTCGGTTCTCATTGATCTCAGCCAAGGTCCTAACGAAGCGCGTCCACTCATCAGCCTTGGGTACGCAGATTTGCTGTAGGAAGATAAAAAAAACAAAAACATACCAAATTCATGTCATGAATCTGGAATCTGATACAGGTTTATATTATTTGTTTCCAGGAGCATTTATTGAGTAAATGACGGGATCTCACCTCTCCAACGTCGTAGACCTGCACCTGTCCATCAGAGTCCCCAGTGGCGATCTCTTTGCCTGAGTGAGCCCATCTTACACGGTTCAGCGCTGGAGCTCCCTCCACACTCACACTGGCTGTGGGAACCTAGGGGGGAAATAACAGCTCTAATAGAAGCAAGGATTTTGGCTTATAAGGCTAATAAGCAAATTTCTTGTCAAGAGTTAGATGACAAGATTGACCAACACACTCTTTTGGATCCAGTAGGTTTTCTTGTTGTGACAAAATACTATTTATTATTAATCCATTTGGTACCTTCTGATAGAATCAGACTGGTCATCTACCCCGTTTACAGTCTTTCTGTTAAGATAAGTTACTACTGACTCCTGCAGCATATTCAAAATACAAACATGAGAGAATCAACTCTTTCATTAAACTCCTGGTAAAACAGCAAATAACCTCATCCCAAAAACTGTCAAACCATCCTTTTAAAAGGGCGAAATGAAGGACTAAGGCGTTTATGTTCATACTTCAGTATCATTGTTGAGGTTCCACAGGTCAAGGCGTCCAGCAAGGTCCACACAAGCAAACAGAGCAGGGTGTGTTGGAGACCACATGGCATCGTAGACATAGTCACAACTGTCCTCAAATGAGTACAATGGACGGGTACTCTGAACAGGAGAACAGGAGGAAGACATTTTTAAATGTAAAAAATAACAATAATTTTTAAAAATAGACTCACCATGGAGCTTATAGTATCATATGTTGTGTAATACTTCAGATGTCTCACCTTAGTGCTCCAAAGTTTGACAGTCCAGTCAAAAGAGGCGGAGATGAAGAGGTGAGAGAAGTCAACAGGTCCTCCAGCACTGTGGCAGCTCAGCCCGGTCACCGGACCATGATGGCCCTCAAACACCTCTGTGATACCCGCCTTACTGTAACACACACATGTAAACAACAGTGAGGACTTTTACTGATTATCCTTTTCCAATAAATAAGTCACACTGTTGTTTTAACTTTCTGATAAACTGATTATAAACCTTGATACAGGAAGACATTTGTTTCTAATGAGGACAAAGTTCAAAAAGGCACCCACCTCCCGTGGCGACAGGCAGTGTAAACTGAGCCGTCCTCGCTCCCCACCACAAAGTTGTTCACGTCCCCCAGAGGAAAGGCCATGGAGGTCACAGCCACAGCTTTGCTCTGTTTGAAAACCAGCTCCAGGCTGTCCTGCAGGTACCAAAACACACGCAGACTCAAGACTCTTGGACAAACCAGCTGATACTCATGACATCATCCATACAGGTTGAACATACCTGTGGCTGGGAGAGCATGTCGAGACTCCAGGAGCACATTTTACCGTCAGTCGAAATGCTGATCAGGTTGTTAGCATTCTGGGTTCCCACCACGTTCACACAATAGACTGGATGCTGAACACAGAAGATAGCACAGTAACAGAAGTTTTATGATATACTGTATATTATTTTATTCAATATACACAGCAGGAAAAGTCAGCCATATATCAACATGTGCATTAAAAGCAAACAGGTTGCTAAAAGAAACGACACAGCTGAAAAGAAGACATTCATTTCATTACTGTGTGTGCAGCTGCAGACAGTGGAGTTCTCTGAACAGGTGTGCGCTTGTTGCTCCTGTTGTCCCACAAGACAATCTGTCCTGAGTATGTCCCACCCACCACCAGGTTTGGGTGAAACTTGGCAAATCCGGCTGACATCACCTCCGACTAGAGGAAGAAAATAAAACAATTGATAAGTATCTGCTTCTTTCCAGAAACTTTAGTAGTGGTAGATATAAAAAAAAAAAAAGAATTCCAAAGCACCTGGCAGTGGAAGATGTACTCAGGTGTGCCCTTCTTGTACTTCATGTTCCAGACCAGAGCCACTCCGTCTGGCTCATGGGGAGCATCCTCGTTGTTGTTGTATGAGGCCACCAGTAGCTCAGGGTACTGAGAGGAACGCAGCAGCCATGTTTAGATATAGAGAAGAGGGAACAGTGAGACAAGGCAAGAATTATCTAAGAGTAAAAAAAAAAAATTAGAAAAGTATTGAGAGTTCATTTTTAGTCTACATGAAGATCTTCACTGTCTGTGTTTGTGTTCTGACCCACCTGAAGAGACCAGTCGAGACAGGTGACCACTCTGTTTTTGGTCCAGCGCTCGTCTGCAAACTGTCTGTTCAACACTAACTTTGCACCTGCCTGCAAGTCACTAGGAGGGACAGAAAAAAAATGCGTATCAATTCTGACTGCCCTGTTATCAGTTTTATTTAACTTCAATCGAGTGTACATTTCTTTTGAAATGTGCCTCACCCTTCTTTATCCTCTAGATCTCTGCCACTGTAGTCAAAGCAAACATCCACATGCTCAGCCAGAGCTCTCTCTACAATTCTGCTGCCTCGCTCGAAAAACGACAAGAAGTCTTCAGAGTGCAGTACCTGCAGCTTCTCCTCCTCTGTCAGCTCTTTAGGGGTGTCTATACAGAGGAAATCCAACATTAAATAGGAAGAATACCAGGAAAGATCCAGATTAGTAGTTACAAATATTTGTAAAGACAGATATTTGGTCAAAATTGTTACTTTAAGAAAAAATAGTCTGACTGTTCTCACCATCTTCTTGCTGTTCACCCTGATCATCTTTCTCCTCCTGGTTGTCCTCTGCTGGTGGGGGAGCAGTTATCTCCTCATCCTCTTCCTCATCTGAAACACATATTTGAGTAGGCATTTATTCATTTCAAGCTAAAAGGTTAAGAAAACATGGCTTTTATCTGTTTTGTATGTTTGTTTACCTGCTTTTTGATCAGTGCGTGTCAGCGCCTCAGTGGGTGTCTGTGTTTCTTTACAGTAAGACACCATTTCCTTCGGAACAATGTCCACCTGGGTCATTTTGGACATGCCCAGCCTCACAGCTCCACGTCTAAACACACACACACACACACACAATTGTAAAAATAAGCACACACACATTTGCAATGAAAGGACTGAATGCTGATTTTTGTAGCGACATAAATAATGATATACAGAGATAATAATAACACATTCAGACAAATCTAAGATGAATCCACAAAACTGAATAAGCTGGAAGACAAGCTAAAGGAGAGAGGAGCAGTACCCTATGAGCTCAGAGTCGGAGTGGAGTTGCAGAGTAGAGGGGTCAGGATCCCAATGCAATGTCCTTATACAGCCAAACCACCAGACGGTGTTAGTAAGAGAGAGACAGGACGGACAGAATGAAAAGAGGAAGACATTGGGATGAAAGCAAACACAGATGATAAGCAGTATAAGATCAATTAAAGAAGGGAAGGACAGGAAACAAGAGAGGAAGAAAGACAGAGAGAGAAGAAGAAGAACGGAGTACGTGTTAATTGAGAAACATCAGCATGCCGGTGAAAAAGGCAAAGAGGAGACAAGTCAGAGTTCATCAAGTTAAATTCACCATGTTACCACAAACACATTTGGCATGCAGGTACAATCGACTTTGCATAAAAAAAATGACTAAAAGCAACCAATCCCCATCTCTCTCTCCATCTCACACACTCACACAGACCTTGGTCCAGCGTTTCCGTCCCCAGAATCTTGGCTTCCTGCATCGCTGCCCACTGATTTGTTGGAGGGAGACATGGGGGCAGGGACTAGGTAGTGAAACAGACACGTATCTTCTGTTACTACCCTCAGGGGCTGAGCTGTGAGTGCGTGTGTGTGTTTGTAAGTGTGTGAGTGGATGATTGGGTGAGTGAGTGAGTGGGAGAGAGAGGGAGCAAGGAGGGGAAATGAATGGGAGAAGTTTCAATGATTGATTGAGTGAGTGAGTGTGTGAATGAGTTTGCATGCGGTAGGGAGGTCATGAAAAAAGACACAAAAGGGAGAGAAGAGAGAATGAAAATAAATGGCAGGCAGGTTTAGGTGTCATGCACAAAACAGTTGTGTAAAATGTTCATATATTGGATGAGGTGGGGTTGGGGAAGTGACGGAAATCGTGCCAGACCACAAAGTTAGAGCTTTAGACATTAATAAACACAGTGAATCAGTCAAGCAAACAACGTGAAAACAGTGGGAGATAAGAGAAAGTGAAGGATAAAATACAGAGGCATGCTGGTGTTTTGAGTTTACCGTGAGGCATGTCAGGGTTGATGCCGACACTCTGCAGCAGAGCCTCCGTCTCTCTCCGCTTCCTCTCCAGGTCAGAGTCTTCATGGCCAGCAGAAGACCCACCCCCTGACTCGGCAGCTCGCTTCGAGTCTCCCTGCAAGAACACAGAACAGGCTAGAAACAAAGCAGCAGACTGTTCTGCAAGGGTGGTAGTTCTAGATTCCAACACTCACGTCCTTTTTTTTCTTCTCCTCTTCTTTCCGCTTCTTCTCCTCTCGAATCTGGGCGATCCGTTGTTTCTTCCTCTCCAGCTCAGCCTTCAGCTCACTCTTGTCAGACATCCTGTAATGGAAATAGAACATGTGACAGGACGATGAAGAGACTCTTCAATAAATCCTCACTGCTTGTTTTAATAAGCCATTTTATTTCAGTTGATGTATTTGTCTCACTCAGCTGCCCAGGATCCTCAACTATAAGTCTAAATAGGCTTAGTAACGCTGCAACAAACAGATGTTTCCATAAAAATATACAATAATTAAAATCTCTTCATTATTTGACGTATACATGGTCAGAAAGGCTGGGAAATGGCCTTTACATTGACATGACTCATTGTCATTCATCATATAGGACCAGTTTTAAAACATCAGTGTTGGTTATATCAGAAACTCTTTATCCTTAAGCATATACAGAAGACAAGCGTAACAGTTCCTGAACTGCTACTGAACTTTATGGCAGAGAAAGAGACAAACACTCTAGTAAAGGATCTGTGAATTATGACATTTTTTTCAAATATTAAAATAATTTAATTGCTTCCTTTGCTCTGAGTTACTGCGAACACAACTGTATAATCCAGCACTAATCTATTAAACAACCCCTGAGCTTGGTTTGGGTAATTGTTGACAAGGCTCAAACCATTAACACAATTTACATTAAATCACAATTAAAACAAAGTACAGGAATTAAAAAGAGGACTGTTAAATACAACAGCTGATAAAATAGGTATTACTTGATATGAGTGTTTTTATTGAGATGTCAACACATATTCAACAGCTCTTAGGCCTTCATGACACATTAAGACAGTCTGCATAGCGCCACAAAATATAGTTTTGCAAAGAAAGTTGTGCTCAGACTTGTGACCTCAAGCTAACAAACTCTACAAATATCCTGAGTGTAATCCTCGATGTCTCGCCCAGGGCCTGTCATACTGCAACATGTGAATCCAAGCCAGCTGTTCATAACAATGTCCTCTCTATCCGTTTTTTCTTTCATTATGTCACGGCTAACCATGAATGGCTTTTTTTATTCCAAAAATATACAAATTATAAGATATCAAGCTAGGTGATAAAGAACCACTTTATTCAGTTGCTCCTTAAACTCCTCCTTTTTTTTGCATGCATATACAATAAGTAAAAACTAGCAGCTTTTAGGATAAATTCTATGCAGCAACACATTGTTAATTTCCATGTCTTATTATTTGTTTTTGTCAATAAACAATTGGACAACAGAAAAGCTCCAGTCCCACTCCTCCACCCACCTTCACACTGACTGATGGAAAAAAACAACAAAAATCCATTTCACCTTGTTTTTCTTCACTGTGTTTTTGTTTATTTAACCAAATTCTTTTTTTTTTTGGGACTCTTTATCCTGTTTCAAACATATTCAAATGTCAAACAATGTATTTTATAATCAAACTAATGGACCTCAATGTCCGCAGAGACAGCTAGCTCATCCGTGTTAGCATGCTAATCTCCATGGCAGCCGGCCTGCAGTTACAAGAAGAGAGTAACGGGATCATCGGAAAACCAACGCCCTCTCCGCTTTATCGTCCTGTTGACCAATGCGTTTAAAAGCGACACAATTGTACAGGCAAAGTAAATACCTGAGATACCTGATGTTAGATTTTAGTCGTCAGCCAACAAGACAATGCAGTTTGGTGAGGGTTAAGGCCACAGAGAAGTGATGGTGGTGAAGAAGACTGATGATGCTGGAAGGAGACAGGAGTTCACTCCGCTGCGCTCTTCTTCTTCTTCTTCGGCGGTGGGCGAAGAAGAAGAAGAAGAAGAGAAGAGTACTACCGCCCCCATCTGGCGGACAGAACACACTCTCACACAAAATGTATAACACAGTTAATGATAGTAGATATATTCTGTCTATTCATAGGCTACTTACGAGGCCTGGTTGTTTTTTTAAGACTAGGTAATAAGGCCATAAAAATTAAGTTTTGCTTTCAGACAAAAACATTTTGTATAAGAAAAATTCAAATTAAAAAAACTTTATTTGTCCCCGGGGGGCAATTCAAAGGCACACAGAGCAGTAAATTAACAAGAGTGCAAGTACGAAACATTTTAACCTAAATATAAAGTGTCAATTTAAATACAACTTAAAGCTTAAACTTAACTTAAAAATACAAAATATAAAGGAGTAGATATAAGTGGACAGTGATTGGACTAACAGATGTAAAGATGTAACCAGAACTATGTGCAGTAAACGAGAAATAAATATATTTATATACAGAGCTATGTGCAAGTAGGCTAAATACTAGATACTAAATGATAAGTTAAAAGGTGCCTTTGAAATGGTGAAGGCAGCTTGAATTTAGGCCTAATCATAATTGACCTTCATAATTCCTCATAGTTGTTTGTTATTTATTTACTTGTGTTATTTATTTACTTGTGTACTGTGATGCACTGTCGATATTGTTTGTTGTGTGTATGAACTGACCAGGTGAAAAATGAGTTTCCTCGCTGGGGATCAATAAAGTTTTCTAATCTGAACAACAATAATAGAGAAAAAAAAAACATTCTTGACATTTCAAACAGCAGTTGGAAAAAACAATCCCGATTATAAATTCCCTTTAATACCTTGTGGTCTAGCTAATTCCCCCTATCTGTGCATGGTGGAATTTGTCATGAATAGAAAGTTTAGTTCTTAATTATTATCAATGAGAGAGTTACATGTAAGTGGAATTTGGTAGTCAGTTCAAATATAGTTTTTTTCATAAATTGTATATTTTGTATCGTGAATATTTTAACTCGTAATCTTCTAAGTAACCTGTTGTGGCTGTTTAAACTATGTGAAGAAAATAATTCTAATAGTGTAAGAAATTAAGATCAATCTGAAATAAAATGAAACATGAGAACATAAATATCACCATTACCAAAATATTTTTATTCTTTTTAACTGTTTTGTTCTTTACAAAAGTTTATTGCGCATTTTTTAAGAACATCCAATCAAACATTGTTTTGTCATGAAAAAGAATTACAGGCATATAAAAATGTTTTACATGTCTGTCCTATAAACATTTGATCGATCGATACATGGTTTGAATAGAACATTTTGGTTTTAATGTGGATTTGTGCAAAGTCCTGCTATTATTTGGGCTTGTGATGTCATTTTGTCATCAGACCCTTAATAGAAAGCTTTAATTTCTGAGGCACTTTGTTTCTACTCTTCTGCAGCTGGCTCGACATAACTCAAGGGGTTATAAAGATCCCGTTTGAAATCATAAGGATCAAAGAAAGGGTAAAGGGGTTTCTGGGTGGCTGCTGCAGGGGCACTTTCCTCCACTTTTGCTACTTCTTCTACCACTTTTTCCTCAGCAGGTGCCTCTGGTGCTGTTGCTTCCTGCTCAGGGCGTGGGGGGTGATCAATGAGACAGTCAGGGTCCCAGTATGGGTCACAGTCGTACTCCATACCTTTAGCAGTGATTGGGGGAGGAGGAGGGGGAGGTGGGACTGACTTTTTGGGAGCGGGAGGAGCAGGAGGAGGTGCTGTTGGTTTTGGGGGAGCAGCAGCTTTTATCTCCTCCTCTGTTTTAGGCCTGCAGGCGGGGTTATGGCGTGGGTCACACAAAACTGGAACAGCCCCTGTTGGCAGGTAGACGATCTGAGGTTTGCATAGAGGGTCTTTGGGGTGACATAAATAGATCCTCTGAGCGTTCTCCAGAGGGTCTGGTGTGGGGGCTGGGGTAGTGGGAGGTGGAGGAGGTTCAGTGGTAGTTGTTGGTGCTTCAGTGGTGGTCTGCACACCCAAGACATTTTGATAACTGGAGGCATCTGGCCCATAGGTTACCTCTAAGTGACGCATCTGCTGATACAACATCCGGATCCTGTCGATTTCATAGAGCTGAGGGGAAGACAGCAAAACAAATCAGAGAGGAAGAAGATCTGAGAGTAATGGTGTAATCTAAGTGGAAGCACATAATATCAAAATAGCCAATCAACTTCCACTTACTCCTTCGATGTGTCCGATGCTGTTGTAGAAGCGGTAATAGGACTGAAAATCAGGATTCCCTCTGTGCCACTTTGGGTCAATGTTCCTCTTAGGTCGAGAGTTCGTCAAGAAATCGTGAGCCTGAGCAGAGTCAATGCTTACTGAACTTCCTGTAAAGTTATTAAGTGTCAGGAATAAAAATGAGAAAAACCACTTGTGATTTGAAGTATGATTTAAAAAATGTAAATCAATGATTGAAAAAAAAGTTTTGGATAGCTTTTTTCTTTCAAGACTAAGCAGTGGTATGTAGAAATAGAACTCATGTGAAATACAAATGGAAATATGTTCACTGTTCTAGTGTGATGGTAAAATGATTACACATTAATCTAAACCGTTCATTTTTTTAGTTCAATGATTTTTTTTAACAATATGCAAGAAGCTGAGAAATACCTCCGAGATTCTTTACTTTCACCAGAGATGTTGCTTCTAGCCAAACTTGAATGAGGCAAAAAAATAATACAGTGTTAGACACATAACACCAACAACAAAATCCTTCATTCTACACCACATTTTGAGGCAACTACATATGATATTATATGTTTTATTGGTATGGTTTCAACTACTTCATATGGGTCAGTTGAAAGCAATAAAACATTAGTAGAAAGTATTTTGCTCAGACTAACCTGGCATTAACAGCAGGCAGCATAGCGACCTAAACAGGGACACCTGGGAAATCATCCTCCACATCTGCAAGTACAACAACAAACACAAATATTATTTATATGTTAGTCTGTCCGACAGAACTGTTATAAAGCTGTTCTTTAGAAACTGTTATAAACAAATATCCAAAATGCATGGTCAGAGCTCAGGGAAAAAGAGTGAAGTAAAATAAAATGTATATACACCAAAGGTATCACACACACTCAATAACATAAGCTACCCGTTTCAGATATTTATGTGCAAAGAAAATATCTACCTGGAATAAAAATTTACTAGCTAATAAGATTCATATCCTAGTTTATCCCAAGTTTATCTATGACTGCATCTTCCTTAGTTGCTCTCCTATAGCAGATGTCATTTATTAATATATTTATCCATACAATCTAAATGTCTCACAAATCATCCTTTGAAATAAACATCAACCTTATCCTCATCATTTGCCTCAAATTGTTTTCTGTTGGTATTTTCTGCCCCATAGGATGCCCGATAAAACAAATAAAATAAATAGTACAAAACAAGGCTTGCCTTAGTCTTTTAAACTTGATGTTGGAAGTAGTTTAATAACCAAACCTACTCACCTGCTGTTGCATCTCCCCAGTCCTGGTCTAATCTGCTGCTTAACATAACTGTTCATAAATACTACTGGTAATACAGGGCCATTTTCATTGGCCACTGAACTACACGTCGCTCTAACTCCGCCCCTCTTCCATTTTCTGTTGCAACGTGGAAGAGCTCATTAGCACACTGAGCATAAACCAGCAGTAAAAGACCAACTTCAAACAAAATGTGACTCCTTGTAAAGCCACAATACACAACTCTGTCACAGCAGTGCACCACTGGGTGCACAGTCAATCAGTTTTCCTATCTATGGGTGTCATAGGCCTTGATGAAGCAATCAATGGAAAAATAACTCATACTCAATAAGCCAAAAAAAATGTATCCAGAGAGAACATGTTTTTTCCATCTAACAAATTCATGAGTTATTGCAAAATGTACCTTGCTACAGTAGTCTGATTCTTGCTAAAACATGCCTTGCAGGTAAAAAATGAACCCTCTGTCCCAAAACAGCTGGATATGTTCTTTTAACTCCGGTCTTAGCCTTAGTCAAAAATAGAGGGGGGGGCAGCCTCAACTGCTGTTTAAGTCCCCAAGAAATATGCAGGAATCATGGGCTAGCTTGTCTTCACACAGAGTTAATGTAACGCAGCCTGGGAATCTCAAAACAACACTTTTTTCAAGTTTCATTGATTAACTTATTTCTGAATGACTAGAAACACACAAAACAGCACATGCTAAAAACGAATTATGCTTTTATGAGACAAACTATTTTTGGAATAATTTCTCCGCATAAACTTCTCTCTCATCAGAAAGGCCTCTGTGTCTTTTGGTTTTCAATAAGAAATACAAAAACACATTTGAAAGTACACTCATATCATGGTGACAAGCTATTCAAGAAGAAGAGAAGAAGAATCTCAAACCTATTTTTTATACATTTTTGTGATCTATCCAACTCTCCAGCCTGTCTGGGTAGCTAGTAGCATGCTTACAAGTAAGTTTTTTTAAGCTGGCCAACAGTTGCATCTTTTTCAAAAACTTAGCCAAATTCAAGGCAATCTTGACGCTCATTATGGCTCCCATTTGAATAATTTCAGCACACGTAAAGGTTTTCATTCCTCAACCAGTAGCAATGAACAACTATTAGCATCAGATTGCAGATTAAACAGAAGGGATGCAACTGCAAGTAACAATAAAATCTCTGGTTGGAGTTTGGAGTTTCAGGCAGACCACTATGGGGTTGATAACTCTCTCAACAATAGAGGGGCCAATGAATCTAGTAGACAGTTTCTTGGCATCAGATTTTAAAGTCAGATCCTTAGATAAGGGCCATACCATGTCTCAAAGCGTTTAGTTAGCAGATGGGGTATGGAAAGACTTTTCCTGAGATGGAAAGAGCGGTGGCTGATAACAATACAGGCACTGGAATGGTTACACATCTGTTTCCGAGCATGGCAGGATATTATGGGCATATTCTACCCAAGGTAGTTGGGAGGACTGGGAAGCAGGCACACCAGGCAACAGCAAGTCTTCTAGAGTTTCTTGTTCACTCTCTGCGCTCGTCCACTAGTTTGTGGATGAAACCCAGAGGTAAGGCTGATGGTGGCACCTACAGTATGGCTGAGCAAAAGGCTTCCCAGTGAACTGAGGGCCATTGACGGAAACAATATCACAGGGCGGCCCTGGACCTGGAAGACGTTCTTCATCAATATGGCAGCAGTTTCCTTGGCAGGATGCAGCTAGGCATAGGCAGGTGGTTTGCAGATTTACCGAATTGATCAACAACAGTTAGGATCACAGTGTTACCATCAGAGACAGGTAGACCAGAGACAGAGTCCAGGGCCAGATGAGACCAGCACTGACAAGGAATCAAACACCTTACGCATCTCTGAAGTGGGGCTGAGTAGGACCAGGTTACTGAGGACCTCTTCTCTCACTCTGCTGTGTCCCAGGCTAGTTCTTTGCCTTGTAGGAGGTACATGAGGAATGTGATTCAGATGACAATGGCTCCTGTTCAAACACAGGGTCATACTGGATGAGGAATGGATGACACAATCTGGGATCTCATCATACCTTTCAATTGAGGGCACCCATGGTACTTTGGGGGTAATGAGGAGGCAGCCGCCTTAGTCTGTGTCGGAGGAGAGGAAAAAAGGCTGGTTTCAGGGTGCATTTGCTGTTTGAAGTTTTTCTGGCTGGCGGGCCTTTGTAGGCGGTGAGGCAGATTGCCCTGAAAACAAGAAAAACAGGTGTAAGACACTGAGGCAGGCAGGCAAACAAATAGTATAGTCTCAAAGGCAGGAAACTAGCCTAAGCTTGAGCTGGATTTGCGACCCAGACAAACCACGAGTGGCCTAACAATCTTCTTGTAGGAGTACTTGATTGCTTGATGGCGGGCAAGTGTGTTGTTTGCAGGTCCATTTCTGGTGAGCAAAGAAGAGTGAAGGTGACAGGCTGGAAGGGAGATGGGGAAGCAATAAACACAGCAAACACTCAGCATTCACAAAAAAACCCCCAACTCTGAACTGAAAATAAATGAAACACACACACTGCCATGCAAACAGATGTCATGGAGCAAGTACTGTGACAGGAATATGATTTAAGTGGTGTAAATACAACAGATGAATGTTTTCCAGTAACTGTGGACAAGTTAAAAATCACACAAAAAGTCTTCAGATTATCTACAAGCGACATCAATGATTATTAAAGGAAGTAAATGATAAAAAAAATGGTAATGGTGGATCTCAACAGTTAAAATAAACTTCTGACTGATATACATTTCTCTACATACCCTGGTCAGCTTTAAAACATGTTTTGACTGTCTTTCTTTTCATTTTCATATGTGTCTCCCTGCATGCTTAGTGTTTGTCATTTCAACACTGAAGCAAACTCTATCCTTTAAACCAGCAGGTAAAGCTGCGATTAAAGAGTGCCAGAAGGAGACAGGGAGTCTATAGGGGCGCTACCAGGTGGCTAATGGTTATCATCATACTATAATTGCTCTGTGACAGCACAAAAATGGAAGGGTAGGGGTACCTGTTAAATTCTATACATTTATTGAACTGGTGCACTGAGATAACCAGCTGGCTTGAGAAATAAATCAAGTTGCTTTAAAGAAGATGTAAGTACAACAATAAACAGTGCTAAAAGAAATCTAACATTCTTTGTTGTCAGTATTACACTTACACATATCTATAAAATGGCATTATTATTCAAAAGGAAAAATCACAAGCCATCAGTGTGAAGTTACTTACTATCTATGTTTATTGTCTAATGGAAGATCAGTTCTAGAATAACATTACAAACATTGATAGTAAATTAGAGGCTTAAAGACTAAAACACACACTGCACAGTCTTTCCAATGTATAAAACATTACATGGTACAAAGGCTTCACAGTGTTAAATGAGAGCTTTAATCATCTCTGTAATTTTTAGTAAGAAAATTAATAAATATTGCAATGATCCTACACTGTTAGCCACATCATATTTAGATACTTTTTAAATTAAATGATTACCTTTGACTTGCAACCGGTCTCCATGGTGGCATAGAAAAATATGATTTGCAGCAAATAGCCTCACTGTTCTCGGTTCTTTATCTCAAGTCAGACCACTAATGAAGGAGATCATGGAATAGCTACATTACATCAATGTACAGCAGCTTTTCTTGCACAACTCAACCACCACCTCCAAGGTATCAATTATTGTAACTAGTGCCCCTCTGATCTTTGAGTGAAATTATACCCTGTCCTTGAGCTCTCTGCAGGACAACAGGGGAATCAGCTCCAGAGCGGATGTTTTCAGCTCTTCATCCTTCATTCCACAGCTTGGGCACCTCTGTGTTGTCTTTACTGAGCAACAATATTTTAAAAAAAACCTGAGCTTTGACTCACTCTGTTGGAAATCTATTCAGAATTATTTGTCGCATTTTTCCTGAAGAAAGAAACCTACAGTTCTGAAGACAAGATGGATGGTGTAAAAATCATAGCAAGCATGGATGAACACAGCTAGCCCCGAATCAGTCCTGTAGAAACCAGAAAAGTTGAACACAGGTCAGAGCTCAGCTAAACTTCAGCTTAGAAATAGCTGAAACACTCACCCATCTATACATGTTTCTGTTTTCTCTTCATATCTGTTAAATCATAACTCTGTGTAGAAATATTCTTCATACACTTGATCGAAATGATCTATACTTCTCAATGTTTAAGATTCAAAGATTCCAAGAGTGAAAATATTAATCACAGTGACAGAAAATTAACTTTTGTTGAGTCTCAGTAACATAAAAACATACAAACATTCACACTCAGACTCACATTAAGTCATAAAATAGCAAAATGTTCCTTATATAATTTAGGTAAAAACAGATATCAACATCATGTAAAAAGTATTGTTTATCTGTACTACGTAAACAGATTTAAATGTGTATAAAATGTTGTAGAATAAATGTATAAATAAGTGTTTGTTTGAATAGAAGTAGATGTTATATAATCAATGTAACTGAATGACAAAGCCAGAGCAGGAGGCAGTGCTCAACAGTCATCATATAATAACTTCTATATTTTATTTTACTATGTGCTGTTGATGTACGTAAGAGCACTTTAATAAATATATTGTAATATTTTACAGTTTACTTTATATACAAGGAAATAGGAATAATGATGATAGCCTAAAACAGTTACAACATTTTCAAGTTAGATAAATATCAAGGACAATGGTGTATAAAACTATGAAGGCAGTGCAATACATACTATAGGTGTATGTGCAATTATCTTAACCACAATGTTACATACATTGCAACAATTACCACTATAATTCTGACAAGGCACTGAGGGGTGAGGCTGGACTGGTCCACCAGAGAAGCAAGTGACCAGCACCCCCATGCACCACACATCACCCAGCAGCAAAACAAGAGCTCCGGTTGGTGAGAGGAGGAGCATGACCAACAAAGATTACCCCTATAAGTAATTGTTCCTTCATTTAAAACATCTTAAGGAGGCCTTTTATTCATTACATAGTTTCAAAGTGTTACTTAACAGGCTGATTTGATCTTTCAGTCAGTGTGTCAGACTCGACAAAAACAGGTCCAAAATTGAGTCAAAGGTCATTCACAAGAGAGTCTATGACGTAGAATAAAGGCTGGACCGCTACTCACACAAGGAACTGAAACAAACTTGCACAGAAAGTAGGGAGCACAAAGACTAAATATACATGAGGTAATTAAGACAAGGGAGGACAGCTGGGCTGATTAGTGATGAGATTCAGCTGGGACCAAGGCGCTGACACAGTAGGGTTGAGGAGGACTGTGAAACAGGTGGAAGACACACGAGGGCAGCAGAGGGAACCTGAAATGAGAGGGAAGTCAGTAGCTCTAAGAAAAAGTGAAAGAAGTATTGAAATAAGAACAATATAACTTAGTCTGAACATATGACACAATGTGTCAGTTGTGAGCATTATAGGACGCCAATACCCGTCTGTAAGGATTTCATACGGTATCATTGAGTTGTCTTCAATAATGTGAGCTAGATGCGTAATCCCAAAGTCTTGCCATAAGCTAAATGTAATTGATTTGTTTTTGTGAAATATTGTGGCTCCATGGGCAGTCTGCTAATTAGGATAAGTTTCCATCAAGTACTAGTAAATTGAGTCCATAGAACAGTTCATTTTAATACTCATGATTGTTTTTCTATCCAGGATAGTGAAAGTTAGATTTTTATTTGAAACACACTATTTTATGTTTTGATAGGGCTGTACTTGTTTTAAAGAAAGTTCTCATGACTTCTACCCCTACTGGAAAGGGGGCCTGCTGTGCAATAAGCAAAAATTAATGTGCAATAGTTTGAATAAATACAAAAATGAAAACACTTTTGGTGCAAGACTTCTCTGTCACAAGTCTGAGTTTCAAAGACAGAAGTGGAGGACCCAAAGCAGTGTAACAAAATGATTTATTTAATAAAAGATCAAAAAGGCAAATACAAAAGTAGAGCCTACTATTTCCAGTACAAACACAAAGTCCATCAAAAGTCAGAGATCAAATCCAACCAAAAAAAAAAAAACAGATCCACAGGGAAGTCTGCCAACAAACTGACACAGATGGTAAAACACACAAACCAGGAGTGATTGGACACAGGTGTGACAAACAAGACACAGGTGGAACTGGGGAGGGCAATCATAATGGAGGGAAACCAGAAAAAGGGAGGCAGTATTACAAGTATGACAAGAACTACAAAGTAAAACAGGAAACACTGAAGACAAGACCAGAAAAACTACCCCGGGAAATCTAATTACATGAGGAAGGAAAATACAAAATAAACCAGGAAACACTAAAAACTTAACACAGGAATATGAAAATAAAAATACACAGGAAACAGAGACACACAATGATACAAATGACAAAATAAAACAGGAAAACAAATTTAAGCAACAAAACCAAGGAATAAACTAACTAAACAAAGGTAAAGAATGACAAGCTCTCGGACAGTCCAGAAAATCAATAAAATGACATCTAAGTCAAAGTATTTCATAGTTATGGCAGAATATGTTGTATAAAGGGTTTTTAAATGAGCCCTAGACATCTAAAGAAGAGTCATTATTGCTTATCTAAATGTGATAGGTTATCAATAATTAGGTATTGTTTAAAGTTTTACTTTATTTCTACCTTCATATCTCTGGAGAGCATCTTACTTTGATATCATGTACGGACAAGTTACTGAATGGCATGGGCGTCATCGTAGTCAGGGGGGAATGACTATCAGGGCCTTACCTCTGTGAGATGGTTCTGTCCCTGTAAAGGATTCAGACCCAGAATAGCTGGTTTCCTTTTTTAATCACACCTCCCAGACTGGCCTGGATTGTTTTGCTCCCTACAAGCTTTTCCCTGTGTAGCCTTGATACCCTGGCTTTCTCTCACCAGAATGGGACAGTGCCTTTAAACTACTGTAATGAACTGAAAAAGAATCAACCTTCCTTTGTGGAGCTGGAATTATTTGTCTTCCTTCCAAGAGTCTTAACGTTGCTTTTGAATATCAACATGAACTGGAGATTTATGACTGGAAGGGACAGCAGTGTGGTGGTTAGCAACAAGATGGCTCTGGGTTTGAATCCAAAGGGGAGAGCAGGGAGAGTGAAGAGACAGAGCAGGTTGCAGGAGAAGTATGTTACACAACATTACAATTCACTTAGCAGATGCTTTTATCCAAAGTGACATACAGTACCTAAGTACAACATTAAACCAGTCATACACCACCACTGAAGCAGTGGGAGCAATGCAATAAGTGTCTTGCCCAAGGACACATCGGACATGTTGCCCAGCTGGGGATCAAACCCTCAACCTTTTGGTTGAAAGGCGAGAACTCTACCAACTGAACCACAGCCGCTCGCCACACGCTGGTAGAGTGGGCAGCTTTCCAAAATTCTGTACAGAAAATCTGAATTAATTAATTTAATCTCATTACTTTAGAAAAGTACTCTGATTAGATGTAATCTGATTTTTTTTCTCAGAAAAAAATTAAGTTATAGATTCACTTATAGTAGAGTTAATTTTATAAGTTAGAAGCCACACTTCTCCAGATAAGAGTACTGTAACTTCTTCCTTTCCATAATTAAATTGACTCCAAATGGTCAAGCATGCAGCAGCTACAGGCTTCTTGCTTTTAACCATAGACTGTAAATATTAACAGACAATGTTCACCATCCTAATAGCTTCACTACGTTGGCTTCCGGTTACTTAGGCAATATAATTGATTTTAAGATTTTACTGATCCCGCTTTTGAATCATGTATGGGTCTGGCTCCATAGCTACAGAAATGTTAACTCCTCATGATATCATGCATTATGCCATCATTGTCCATTGGCTTTGTAATTGATATGATTTTTATTATTACTAAAACTACTGACAGACTTCGGCTACTACTTTGATATTACTGATAGGCCGACTCCTTTAGTGAATGAGTTAGCGACAAGTTTAGTTGAGATAAATAAATAAATAATTATTTAATTAATTAAATGTATGTTATTAAATAATTAAATAATTATTTAAATGTGTCATTAATTATTTAAAATTGGTAATATATAAATGAATAAATAAATAATTTATGAAATACATAAATAATTAAATAAATGTTTAAATAATTATTTAAAATGTTCATTCCTATATATTTAAATATTTCATTTTGGCACGTTTAGTCCTCCATAGATCTGAGCTATGGCGGTGGGGCTCACAATGAAATATTGATGCCTGTGTTGAAAGGTAATTCTTCAGTACGACCACCAGGTGGCGAACGATACAAAACCGGGAAAGTCCAACTTGTTTTGTCAGTTCCTCTGAGGAAGTTCGAAGTTTTGTAGTTCCTGTATAGTTGACCTGTCAGCGTTGTAGTACAAGCTGTCACTGCTGAATGTGTGTTACTCCGTCGGGTTGGGACAGTTTTCGACCAGATTGAGCGACTCTGACAAACAGGATCGTTTATATTTACTGCTGCTGCTAACCAGCGAGCTAAAGGCTACAGTTAGCCAAAAGCTGGACAGCTAGCTCGCTATTTAGCATCTGACGGTAGATACTAGCGTAAGCTGGCTTTTTTTTGCTGATAGCTAGCTGGGTACTGGCCCGTGCGAGGCTAGGAATCCTCCCACTCCTGCAAAGCAGTTTACAGGACAAAAGAGTAATCGGTAAGTAAGCAGAAACTTGGCTGACGTTAGCAATCTACTGTTAGCTGACGTAACTAGCCGGGTTACAGATTGATTTTAAAGCTCTGGGAAAGAGGGTCCAGTGTGCTGGAGTTTAGAAAGATAGCTGCACAACCAGTGTCACCAGTAACACATCAGCTCCTCTGTCAGCCTCTTAGTCACTGGTTTCTTGTTTTATTACTTTTGACAAGCTGCTTTTGTGATGTGACCTCGCCTACGACATCTCCAATGTTATCTGGAGAGCAGACATGAGAACATTGTGTGAGCTGTGCAGCTGGAGGTCATCAAAGTGTTGCTGTAACCAACAGGGTGCCGGGGAAAGGATCACAAATGGCCCAACTTCTAAAATTATGTTTTCTTTTTTGTGTGTGTGTGTGTGTTTCGAGGTGGATTATCATTGCAGCAAAATACCAGAACACATTAGTGGCCTGTTATTGCATCTCTGTTTCCTCTAAGTTGGAATCAGTTTTTCGTTTTATTGCCAAATTCGTTCACACATTGACTTCGCAATGTTTCAAGACAACGATCCTCTTCAAGCTGTGGACAGTGGACACACCTAGTTGATGAATAAAATTAGCGGATCTTTGAACTATTGGATCATACCATTCATATATAGCAATCTTGAACATAAGCTGGTACCATCTTTTTAGATGTGGGGATCTGCTGCTCTTATATCCACATGATTGTTAAGAGAACATGTGTTATGACTATTGGTGACAATGAAGAAGCAATTTACTAAATAATTTCCCCAGATTGCAATTTTTGAGACATTTTGAGAGCACTTAAGGGAGCTTGCAGCGAATACTATGAACCACTGTCATGTGGTTATGTAAGACTTGGCCCTGTCCTTTTGTTGCTTGCTTATTATAGCAACCTGTTCCACTTATGATGACATGTGCTGCTCATGTAAATCTTCTCTGTCAGTGTGTGAGAGCCCTGCAGGGATTTCAGCCTCCCTGCTCAGCTGTTACAGAGAGAGAAAGAGGCAGGGCGCTTCTTGTACCAGTGCCCAGTGTTGGATCAGGTATCTGTCACCATTTGGATTGTGCGCGCTGCTTTGCCTGTTGCTCCTTGTAACGAGTCACACTTTCATAACTGGTGACGCAGCAGAGTTTGTGAAAGTTAATCACAAGTTAAAGAAGTGGCAAAGTTATAAAATGAAGAAATGAAGGGCCCTCCCCTTTTGTGACCTGATTGCTCAATTTTAGATGGCGTGATGGAATGTGAGGAATGGGGCAGAGGAGCCTGAACCCATAACACAGGAACCCCTTGTAATAGGACACAAGCCGTAGTTTCTTATGTTCCAGCGTTTTTAAGATAAGGTGGTACATCATCGCTGTTGGAAGTGTTTGAGACTCTGTTGAGTATATGTAATGTGATCTTAATGTTCAACAACTTTTTAAAGTTCCAGTCTTGTTCTTCCTGGATACACAGAGGACACTTACAGACCCTACCAAGACACCGATCATTGAACTTCTTTCTGTTTAAAAAAAAAAAAAAAAAAGAAGTAATTATTTGTTACTCTCTGTAGGTGTCAATAATGAATCTGTATGACAATTTATGAATCTGTCATTTTTAAGCAAGAACTAACATGTGTTTGTTCTTACTTCTGCAATGGTGAAGAATCACTGCTTTCCTCATTATTCATGTTTGAACAGACTGTCTTATGGTTTCTGAGTGTTAGACGGACGGCAATGGGTTTCATTTATATCGTTTTGTTTTTTAATGTTCTATTCACCAAAGCAACTCATAGAGGAAATTAGGAGATACAAAGAAGTTTAACCAATGATCAAAAATGTTATTTTTCTGTCTTTCTTTATATCATGACTTGATGATGAACTTCTTAAAAACCTACAAATTAGCTTTTTTTCCCCTCTCAAAAATCTTCTCAGAACTGAAATTGGTCAGAATTAGTATGAAGTTCAGGTACATTTTTCTGTGATAGAGAAAAAATGTTTCATGTATTTGCTTAATTTCCAGCTGACCTTTATATGTTTGCTGTTGAAATCCACTAGTTTTTTGATCCAGTGACAGTCGTTTTTCCTTGAGCTGACACTCTGTCACCGTTACTAGGTCAAAGTTGAGTCAGTATATGTCATCTCATCTGCTCATAACCTTCCTGCCTAGATTTACAGTCTGTCAGCACTGTATACTATATAATGCTAACTATGTAACATACAGTTCACGTCCAGAATGTTGGCATATGTTACAAACTTAAGTATATCTGGGTGACTTCATTAGAGTGATTCTCTTTCAAATTAAACTACAAGAGGTCAATGCAGTGTATGGTGTGTTTGAACTAAACTGTGTTTTATTTGCCTTTGCTTGTTGTTTGACACAGATGGAGGCTCAAAGCTCCAGTGGACTGCTGTTGCCCAGAAAGAGGAGAAGAGATGGCTCCAACGGTGAGACTGAGGAGGGAGAGAGGCTTGGTAAAGTCCCCAGATGTACTGTGGTGAGTCAGCTGTCATAGATGCATTCAACACTGTGACTATCACCCCAAAGCTCCCCTGAGTCCACCATTATTTTACATGCCTGTGATATACTGAAAGGAGGAGGAAAAGTTCCCTCAGTTAAACCATCAATTTAAATGTCAAACATTTGTTGGCTGTTGTTGGTTGATACTTTTCTAAATGTTATGATAAACACTTTATGTTCACATAAGAAGGTGCCAGGAAAATAAATATTGAAAAAGATTACAACAAGAGAAAACAAAGAGAGGATTATTTCCCACAGTGTGTTTCAAAGCTTCATATTCTGCATGCATAGTAAACTTTGTTGATGACTAAAATCTTTCCTTTTGTGTTGGTCTTTTAGGGATTGAAGCACCCCGCACCTTTTGCAGATGAGCTAGAGCCAGCTGATGGTAAACCCTATGAGAGAGTCAGCATGGAGGAGGCCAAGAGGGGAACACCATGTGAGTCTTATTGCTTCACTCTTTCAGTTGATACTGTATGCCTTTCTCTAAAAAAATGCCCAGCCTGGTTTACAAATCTCAGAATAACTTTCTTCTAGTGTTTCTCCTTTGAATTATTTTTTTCCAACATCAATTGGAAAACTTCTCAGTTTTCAGTTTACTTTAGACTTTAGAATTTATCACTTTTTCACAGCACTGTTACTGTCCAGTTCACTCATAGATATAAACAAATAAGTGTAATATTAGATCTTCTCCAAACAGAGTAAAACTGTTATTCCTGCTTGTCTCACTACGTCTCTCTTTGTTCAGCTAACAGACCAGTGCGGGTGTATGCAGATGGCATTTTCGACGTTTTCCACTCAGGTCATGCCAGAGCACTCATGCAGGCCAAATGCTTGTTCCCAAATACACACCTAATTGTTGGAGGTAAGTATCTTTGTTGAATGACAAGAATGATGCATTCAGACGTGTAGATCAAAGATAGAGGACTTATAGTTACAATACAATGAGAAAAGTTTACTGAGAAGTATATTTTGACATTGATAACAGGCCTTCCTACATGAAGCTCGCCTGTTGTGGTGACTGAATCATGAGTGTAACTTTTTGAAAAAGGATTTGTATTTTGCAACTTTCTGAACCATGCTAATGATGAATATTGTCAAAGGAGAAGACGTATACAGGTAGAGAAAAACAGAGGGAGGGGATCATGTCAGCAAGGATGTCAGCAATTAAAAAATTTCCATGCATGCTGCTTGAAATGTCAGTCAGCAGCTCTCTCTCTCTCTCTTGCTCGTCTATGGTTTAGTGTGCAGGCAGACAGGTGGGACTGAGTTACTATGGTTACGAGGGGTGCTCTGTCTGTCAATAAACTTGTATAAAACTAAAGCTATAAGAATTCTTCAGACTTAAAATAGTGCAGAAACACAAGAACCGTATCCTGCTTTATTGTCCTTTTGTCAATCACATCCCTGTTTAGTGAAAACAGGGACAATAATGCTTAGAATGAATTTGTGGAAAAGGCATTTTAAATACATATCTTAAATATCCGCTTTTATTTTGGAAATAAAAGAGGATTTTGAAGATATTACTGTGCTGTCCTGGAATATTTTTTGATACTTTTTGTTGAGGATTCAGCACCATTGCCTTAGGGTGAGTGTTTCTGTTAATATCCTTTTTTTTAAACAATCATTTCCAGTGTGCAGTGATGACCTGACCCACAAATACAAGGGCTTCACGGTGATGAACGAGGACGAGCGCTACGATGCCATCAGACACTGCCGCTATGTAGATGAAGTAGTGCGAAACGCTCCCTGGACGTTATCGCCAGAGTTCCTCGCAAGACATCGCGTGAGTGGATTACACAGAATTCTATAAAATGATAATGATAATTTAGAGACTCTTTTGCATTTACGGAACTCTTTAGTTGAGATTCCTTGTCGTCTTTTTTTTTTCTCCTGTTTTTCTAAAAATGTCCCCCTAATTTATATGTATTTTAAATCTGCAATTTAGATTCTAGTGTGTTGATGTTTGTTGAAATGACCTCTCCAGATTGACTTTGTGGCCCATGATGACATCCCATACATCTCAGCGGGCAGCGACGACGTGTACAAACACATCAAGGAAGCTGGTGAGTGTAAAAGTCACCAAGAGAAGTAGAGTGGTACACACATGATTACAAGATATGGTTCAGTATTTACTGCTGCTTTAGCTCACATAGGAAACAGAATGATGCTAGCTTTTGGAAGATGTTTTGATTCATTTTTTTTTAAACGGCTGAACGGAATGTGGGTTAGTGCAGAGGATTATTGGGAACTTAAATCACTGCAGGCAGCCACACAATGAACACACAATGTTTGACACACACATACTCATGGCTGTTGTGGGTCAAATAAAGGACATCAAGGAGAGAAATAGTATGAGATCTTGTTGCTCGTTGTAAGACTTATCCTTTGCTACTTGGGCACAGGTTTATAAAAAAAAAACCCGTATGATTTGTCAAACACACTAAAAAGAATCTACCTTGTTTGAAAAAGTTTCTTTGATTACATGAATTCATTCAAACTGCATTTTTGTTCCTTTTTCTCATTTTTTTTTTCCTCTTATTCATTCACCTGTATCTGGTAACCTTTTCTTCTCAATGAACCCCTCTCTGTTCTTGTCAGGTATGTTCGCTCCCACCCAGCGGACAGAAGGCATCTCCACCTCTGACATCATCACACGCATAGTCCGTGACTACGATGTGTACGTCAGACGTAACCTGCAGAGAGGATACACAGCCAAGGAGCTCAACGTCAGCTTCATAAATGTATGAGACTTAAATCTGGATGATCAGTGTCAGGGTTAGAGAAAAAAAAAAAACAAGAAAGTGGAGCAGTGAGAGCCACAAACTGTTAGCAGTGAAAATGCGCCGTTAGTTTGTTCTGGTCGTTCACGTTGACATTTGACAGTTCATTTCTTCTTTTCTACTTTGTAACCCCTGCTGCTCTTGATATTTTCAGGAGAAGAAATACCACCTGCAGGAGCGTGTAGACAAGGTGAAGAGGAAGGTCCGTGATGTGGAGGAGAAGAGCAAAGAGTTTGTCCAGAAGGTGGAGGAGAAGAGCATCGACCTCATCCAGAAATGGGAGGAGAAATCCAGGGAGTTTATCGGCAACTTCCTGCAGATGTTTGGCCCTGAGGGAGCTCTGGTGAGGATGTTGGTTTTGTTTGGTCTTTAATCACTGTGCTTATTCTGAAAGAGCCACTAAAAAATGATCCCTTTCGAGTGAACTTTAGTAGAGCTCTTAATATAGTGTTGTTACTCTATTTGAAATTATAAAATGAAATATAAGTTACTGAGGGGCACATGGTGACTTGTTAAGGACTTTGACATAACCCTGACCTTCACAGCAAAGACTTCAGATATACCTGTAAGCCTTTCAGTGCATTCACTTTTTCCACCTCTGTTTATTTTACCTTCAAGTAGTCAGTGGCTCATACCAGTACAGTCATATACCGGTCCCAAAAGGTGTTAATCATCCTTAACACCTTCGGTATGCTGACACAAATTCTTTTAAGTTATGCATTAGGACAAAGACCAGCTGATAATATTTCAGTACAATTTGATTGTAATCAAACTTTAATTATGAAAGTTGGAATTGGACTTCTGGAAAATAAGTTAATTCACTTTCTTGCAGAGATTCAGGTAAGTTTGATAGATAACCATGTCTAATTCTTTTCATTGTTCGTCATGGGAGACGCTCTGTAAATGATAGTCCCTTGTTATTAGCCGTACAAACGAAAACTACACTGAACAAGATAAAGGTTAATACTGCTGTATAATATAAAGGCTTACTGTATCTTCAGGATCTATTTAATGATTTTGTCGTCATGAAATGTGTACCCACTGTGTCGGTGTGACACAATCCTGTTTTCCAGTCTTACACTAAGCTAGGCTTTCAACAGCTTTTCAGATATTGCAGATGTTACGGATTGAAACGCTTTTGTTGGGTTTTATTGCTTAACCCTCTTCAAGGTCTGCGTTCAGACAAAGCTGAAATGATTTTAAAGGTCATTACAAATATGTGGCAGAGCTTTGATGTCAGACTGTTTGAAGGACTGTTTTGACCTTATCCTGTGGACTGATATTGTAGATAAACGTTTCATGTGTCCGCCTCCACAGAAGCACATGCTGAAAGAAGGAAAAGGCCGCATGCTGCAGGCCATCAGTCCCAGGCAGAGCCCCAACAGCAGCCCCACCCGAGAGGAGCGCTCCCCTTCTCCCACCTTCCGTCTCCCCTTCTTCACCAAGACCTCCCCGCCCCCCTCGCCTCCGTCCCACCACAGCGGAGCCCGTGGATACCTCATCAGCGATGACGATGACGACGAAGAGGACGAAAACTAAAAGCGTTTGACTTCTTCACTCTTCTCTGGGCCGCAGTCAGTTGTACCAGTAAACTGAGCTATCGAGGAAAGCAATTTTCACCAAGCTCCTGCTTCCGTTTTCTTTCTCGGTTTATGATTTTACTTTGTTAGTTAACACTTCAGTTTCATTCTAACTGTAGCAGCCAGTTTCCCAACGATTCTTGTTTTTAACAGCCAGTCATGTAATAGTAAAAGTTTCCACTACTCACCTAAGTTCTTTGAAAGATACGTCTCATTTATCTCAGTCACTTTTAATGTTGAGTTTTTTTTTTTGTTCTTTATCGTCACTAGGTATTATGTGCGGCGTTAGGGTGACGTTGTAGTGAGGCAGAAGTTTGTTTTCATTGTTTTGGCACGGTTTTCTTCAGTGGGAGGGCTCTAACCCTAACCCACGGTAACATGTAAACGCACATGAAGTTTGGTGTTGGATAGGTTACCTCATAGAGGCAGTGGTGAATATCTCTGTAGGGGAGTTTTTCAGAGCAGGTCAGAAACTGGACATCTAAATGATAGGCTTTCATTCTACTCATACTAACAACAAACCAACTTTTCTTTTTTTTTTAAAAAAAGCGGGAAACTTCAGATCACAATCTGAGCTGAATCTGGGAGTCAAGTCTTCTAAACAGCTGCATTTTCCCATGTTTGTCCGCCTGCTCTGGGGCTGTTTGTGTCTGTGTGTGCATGACATGTTTGTGCGTGCAAGCTCCTGTGTCGGCATGTTTGAAATGTCTTCTGTCAACATACTCCACCTATTGACAGACCTGGGTTCAGCTTTGTCTTGACTTAATGAGTTTGCTTTTAAAGGATCATGTCTGCTGACAAAATCCTTGTCCTTGGAAGACTCATTGGAGGACTCATTTGAAACTGGACGCCTTTCTTGTGGCATTTAAGAAAGTCCTGCAAGAATAACCCATTTCAATGTAGAAAAACTTATTTTTGTAGATTTCCTCTTTCCTTTCTTTAGTTCTGTACAGATAGTATTCGTTATGATCCCTGTTTAGACGTGCTTTACAGGCTGAGCAGTGAATCAGCATGAGTAAGGATGAAGGAGTTTTTATATATTTTTTTGTAAGGGAGATGCTGCGTCATTTCAGCCTGTAGGGAAACAACTACCTGTTACATGCAATCACAGTAGAAAGAATGACCTCGTCAAGGTGACCTGAGAACTGTCTAAATGCCCTACTTTTTAAGAGAAATTAAATCATTTTGATCAGTGGATGAATAAGACCTGTAGCATACTGAAGTCCCCAAAACATTTCCAAATCTTCAATCAAGTGTTGATTGGCAGATGTAAAAACACTGAGTGGTTTGAGTGATTCAGTTTCTGTAGATGCATCAGTGAAAATCCAGATCAACATATACTGTTTATAGCTACCTCCTTCTTCCCTTTTTTTTTTTCTCTCCAAGATGAGCACAAAGTTCATGTATTTTTCCTCTTCCTGAACAGAGCCATTGTTGCAGCACTGATGCAATGTGACTGGGTCACATATTTGAGCTTTTATGGCTGTTTGTGTGTGCATCTTCAGTGATACAGCAGTTCTTGTGTCTCCTGTATAATCATAAAGTGAACCTTCACAGGTGATCAGAAGATGTAACGCATCACTGTCAGTCAACTCAAATATGAATGTTGTAATGTCAGATTGATCTGTTCTCAGGCTCGGCTTCTTTAAAGAATTTGTTGTAGAAGTCGATCTTGGCTGCAGGGACAAAGACTCCCTCTATTCACGTGTGAAAAATCAGATGTTAAGGTGGGAAATCACTACCCACAGGTATAAAATCCAACTTTTGGAATGAAGTGAAAAAGTAGTATAATTTGCAGAGAAATCCAGCCTTGATCTTGGTGCTAAGCTACTTTCTGGAAGCCTCGTCTCGATTCTTGTGGAATCTTTTCCTTTAAATCAGCGTGAACTTCTCATTTACAGCAAGTCCACAGCACAAGTTCATGGTGGGAGAAAAACTTGAGTGGCAAGCCAATGACAGCCACAACCGCAGGATACAAATATAAATGTTTTTAACAGTAAGCGTTTTAATCAATGTTCTATTTACTGTTTGGGGTTTCTTTGTTTTATGTCCTGGATGTAGAGGAAGCGCAAGACAGGAAAAATGTATTAAAACATGTTGGCCAAAGCACATCTTGACTTGACCGTTATTTCCCCTCCTTAATTTCTGGATTGTTTTCTTAATCTATTTAGTTTATTCTCAAATTGTGAAAGTGTCTTTTGTAAAAAAGTTAGTTGACTTTCAGAGGGCGAGAATCAGAACTTTTATTCAACAACCCAAATACTAAGCAACTAATGAAATAGTTGGGGATTAACTTCAAGTTATCCTACAGTTGCTTTCTGCTAAGTGCATTGATTCTTTCATAGCCATGCAGCTTAGCTTTGTTTCATTTAAAAATTTAGAAAAATAGTTACAATTGTCCAGTGAATGAACTGGATGAAACTTAATGAACTAAAGCAACAAATGTCTCAGCAAATCCATTGTTCCTGAACCCCTCCTCCCTCTTCTTACACTAAAGCAAAAGGAAATAGTGCCAACAGCATTTCAATGACCGACAATACCTCGAGCCAAATGAAAATACGCACACAGGATGCCAGGTTGGTTACATAGTCAGATTTTATTGGACAGAACGGTCACCAGGGCTACAAACATGAAGAAGCGGACAGTGACGAGGCGAACACCAGGGGGAGACCTCACCTCGCTGCATACACTCACTGCAAGATTTGCCCAGAGCTTCTCAAAATCAAAATAGTGTGACAATTGATCTTAGTGAAGGAAATTTCAGAATACATACTAACTTATCAGGATGAAGGTCAAACCTCAAAGCTGTCTGGAATGATTCCCCTGTGTTTATACTTTACTAATAATGGAAAAATAGCAAGGGAATAATGCTCTCCATTTAGTACAAAACAGCTCGCTCACTATTGGTTTGTCCTCTTTCCTTGCTTCCTTTACAGAGATCTTGAAATGACACCTTTGATCCACATGACCGCCTCCCACAAACACAGATCAAATATCAATCAGGTCTACAATACAGAATCAGACAATGCATCTTAATTTGAAGGGTAAACTCTACAGAGACAAAAGTTCATACACAGGAACTATATCAGGATTCATTTTTAACCACAACAGCTACAAATCATCTTTACCAGAGATTAACTCAGGACTTGTGGAGCTTCTAACGTTACTGGAGGGTAGATAGTGGAACAATAACACTGAATAAACACAACACCATGTCCTTTAAAGACCGTCTCCAGTCCTCTCCCCCTGGTACCCACCTGCGTTGCTCGTCTTTTTTTTTTTCTTTTTTTTCCTCAGACACCAGTTGGTTTACAGGTTAACTCATCACTACGAGATATATATGATACAATGGTTCACATTTTGCATATATCTGTGCATTATATCATACTTTTTTTTCTCTTTTTTTTAAGGATGTAAATTCAATCTCCAACACCTAGTTAGAAGGAGTAAGGGTGGAGGTGGGGGTGGAGAAGGGGGTGTATGAGAGAAGCTAATAGGATTGAGGGAAGGGGACGGACAAAGTAGGAAGGGGGCAGAAGAAAAAAATCTTAACAAGATAGATGGGAGGAAAAAGTGGTCAGTTCGCTGCCTGGCTGGGGTTGAACTTTAGCAGCGGGTCTCGTAGATGCCGGATCGGCCAATGTAGCGAACCCATTTGATGACATCATGGTCACTGTAGTTGAGCTTGGACTCAAACACCTTCAAGTAGCGCACTTTCAGCCCAGAGGGAGCAAAAGGAACCTGCAGAGAAGGAAGGTTAAGACACGTCAGGGCATGCTGGGAGCTGTAGGCCACACCTGTTTGCTGGTTCTGACTGTGATTGTGAAAAAAAACAGGCAGGCAGGAAGTGTATGAGGTAAGCAGGCTGGGATTTGCACTACTGATACTGGGGATCACATTAAATCCCCAGTCCATTTGCTGAGCTGCAAAGTTCTGCTCAGCTGTGCATTGAGTAAACAGAAAATCTCCAATTTAATCAGGCAGTAAGGCTAACTTAGAAAAAAATCTTACAAAAAAGTTTCAGAAACTTCATGGGAAAAAAATTATTTTACTCACAATAGTCCTGTCTCGTAATTTGTTGAAGCAAGAGAGACAGAAAGAGAGAGAGAAAGGCAGAGACTGAATAAAGAAATGCATTCTGACCTCAAAGTTCATAGAGATGGGAGGCCTGGCCCATTTCTTCTTATCGTTGGTCGGCAGCAACTCAATCTCAGCGCTGATCTGTGACTCCTTCATTCCTGCCATGCGCTTGATCCTAAACACAAACGAGGAAAGGTTTCAGCTACAACAACCTTATTTGAATACTCTCACGAGAGTAAGTACAGATGTAAAGTTTAACAAACAAAGACACCTGAGAGAAGCAGTTAATCATTAACTTGTCATAGGGAACGTTCAAATGAGTTTGGTTGTGTTATGAATATACAGACAGAGCTACTACTCACTTCCACACAATGGCGTTCTCACTGGCCTTGTACTTTGCTTTTCCCTTCATACAGATCACCTGCACACCACTGGTGTTAAGAGGTGTTGGGATACGCACCTGAGGAGGGTATAATGTTAATGGGGGCAATGGGATTACATTTGATCATATATTAGCTGGAACATGAGGATAATCTGCTTGCTGCATGTGTCACCATGTTAACTCTTTATCATGGTAAGTCTATAGGGGCCTACCTCGATCTTCTGGGCCAGCAGTGAGGGTTTGAAGTTGGACTTGATAACCACCTTAACCTCCAGTTTAGTGCGACCAACTTCCCTGACCAGAGGGATGACTCGGAACGGCAGGATGATGTCTTTAGTGGTGCGATACCTGCAGGGGGGTGGGGAGAAGGAAAAACAGTTTGTTCAAAGTTTAGGACATTTTATCAAGCAGTTTTATACAGAAACACTCAGGTCACCAGTAGACAATCAAGCATGTTATAAAGGTTTGCTCGAGTCTCTTTGCTCTTGTCTTGCCTGCACAGCTTCATAAAAGTGAAGTTTATATTTTAAAATTCTGATTTAAAAACTCCTTCCACTGACCTCATGAGCTCATACTCTCCATCAGGGGGGATGAAGCTGATGCTACGCTCCGAGTCGAACTTACTGAGGCGCACACACTGGTGGAAGGTGCAGTCATCGATGGCTATAGACTGCTTCCCACTGGGGGTAGAAAAAAAAACATACCAGAGACACGGACACAGAGACACTTTTCATGATTAAACATATTTTCTAACATAATTAAAAAAGATTAACTACTACTCTCCCTCAACTAATGCCCATATTTCAAAAGAATAATACAAACAAACATATGAGTACACATTGTATGTCTTTATATAAGCAGTTGTGTTTCTAACTAAAACATGAAAATGACTACTTTATAATAATAATAAAAAACACAACCCTGTTAAGTGTTTAGAGCAAAGAGCTAAAAGTCAAGCAGGAAGGTGCAGGGAAATAACACAAACCAACCATAACACAAAGTAGGAAAACAACCACTGGGTAGAACATTAAAGATTTGTGTTGAGTGTGGTGGGAGCAACAGTGCATGAGATGTACTTAATGTGCTTAAAGGCTTTGACATGACAGGTGTGTTATCTGAGTGTGTCTGTATATGTGTGTGTTGATATGGCAGAGGGTGAGGACTCTGTCAGTACTGTACCTTCCTCCCCCTAAATCACTGAGGTACGGCACATAGAAAAGAAAGAGAGGGAAAGAAAGGAGAGATGCATCCAAAAGGAAAGAAAAATAAATAAATAGTAAAGCCTGTCTTGTTGTAAACAGCAAGACAACACTCATTGAAACAGACAAGGGGCTAACAGACAAGGTGGTCTTTAAATATGTCCATTCAACAATTTACTTCATTGGGTCAAGTTGGAAATTATATAAAAGTAACATTCTCCATTAAAAAAAACTGAAAGCAAGTTATCAAATTTATGTAGTTTAGACTCCCTCATTAGAATACAGTTGATTTCAGATAATAGGTTTGTGGTCAGCAGACCCTCCTCACCTCTTCCCTGCATCATCAGACGCTCCTCCCTTGCCCTGCTTGTCGATGACAATCTTGTCGTTCATGCCAAACTTGCACTCAGGCATCCCGCTCAGGTAGCTCTTCATCACTACTCGGCCCGACACGTGAGCGCTCAGGACCTGGCCTGGAGAGGAGAGGACACAAAAAAAAAAGTGACTCAAGAGTCTAAATTTTACCAGAATGGAAGTTTGAATTAGGCAAACGTAAAATAAAGAAAAGGACAGCAATCATAAGAAACTCTTATATTGCCTTCATCTGATATGTATAATATCCTGTGATTGACTGGCGACCAGTCCAGGATGTACCCCACCCCTAACCCCTCCATCTCCCCCGTGACACCAAAATGGAAAATGGATGGATGTAAAATATAACCACAATAGATGTATATCATTATTTTAATAATTCTAAAAACTCAACAACACTTTCTCTTTTCATGAGAATTTACTCAATGCATGTGGTAAAATAAAAGCTATGCATTATTCTTAAATAATAACTATAATCGATCTACACATTTACAAGGAGACACATTAACCCCTTCAGAAGTGAACTACTGTCACTTATTGTTCAGAGTAAAACAGTTTCCATAAATCATGCATGTCAGAAAACCCCCCACCCAGTTTGTTGCGGCCACTTAAACAGACCTTGAGGCGACATGAGCAGGTTCACACTCTCCAGTACGTCCAGGAAAAGCTCATTGCGTCGATACTTGATGCCCTCTCGACGCCAGCCGATCTGCCCCGTCACCTGGCTGGTGATCTGAGACTGCTCCTCTTTTGTCTGCAGGACAGGCAGAGAAACTGTATCACTACTGACAAAGGGAGGGGGCTGACAGACTGACAAGAGAAAGAAAGCTATGAAAAGGAGATCATTAGCACTACAGGGAGGGAGCAAAACAAATATGACAGGGCTCCATAGACAGATGAAATGCTTTTTTTTCCAAGATAGGAACTGTTTATTACCTGGTGCTGGAGTTTGAAGGGAACAAATCGAAGTTGGAGGAAACAACGGAGGACAATGGAAAAGAAAAAAAAAAAGGATGTTATTTCCAAGCATTTTTTAGGTATTCACACAAATACACATTTATTTACTAAATAAAGCAGG